GTGACGCTCTTGAGTGAAGACACCTTCAGCTCCGGGTGGGGGGGCGAGGACCTTGTAAACTGCAGATTTGGATTCAGTGGGTCTGAGGTAGAACCTGAGATTGTGCATTTCTGACAAGCTCCTGGATGATGCCTGTACTGGCCCATGGGCCACACTTGGAGCGGCCAGGTTGTCGTCTCGCCCTCTTTGGATCTTCCCTACGCCACCATCGACGGCTGAGCCACTTTCAGGACGAGGCTGTGACACGGTGAGGGATGGGAGCTGTTTCTCACGAGTCTAGGCATTCAAATCTGAACTCACTGTCTTTTCTCAAAAATCTCCTTCCCCTGATTACTTTCCTTTACTCAATTACTGAAACCCCGATTCTTCCCCCCCCCTTTTTTTTTAATTCTCACCAAAGGATATTTTTCCATTTAGCTTCAAATAAAGTGAGAGAGAGAGAGAGAGAGAGAGAGAGAGAGAGAGAGAAACATCGATGTGAGAGAGACACATTGATTGGTTGCCTCCCCCACGACCCTGACACTCCAGCTGCTAAACCAAACCAGCCAGGGCCTTCCAATTTTTTTAAGAAATTGAACATCATCCCTGCCCCCCCCCCCCCTTAATTGCCCAAATATATCTTTGGTCGATTCTGTTTCTAAATTTCTCGGTGTCTCCTGCTCTCCCTGCCGCTGCCTTAACCACGGCGTCTCCAGGTCACATCTCTTTCCTGTACTCCGACCTCCTCCGTAGCTCTGGGTTTCAGACTTGGCCCCACAGTGACTGCGTGAATCTCCTGCCTCAAATACTCTCATCGTTCTCCATTATTTTAAAATAAAATAAAAGCCCATTAAAATGGCATTTCAAGGTTCTTCTTGATCTGACTTCCTGTCCATTTGAAACATTTAATCTCTCACAAACACACACAGCTCTAGCCCTGCTGAGCTGTTTCCTACCTGGAAAGCTTTGAGCTTTGGATGTGGCATTTTCTGTCTGAGACTCTGGGTCCCACTACTTTGCCTGGAGAACTCCTATTCATTCGTAAGTCTCCACTGGTCTCCTGGGAAGCCTACATTGACCTTCCCAGGCAGAGGTAATTTGGTTCTCTATTGTTTTCTTGTAGATTTTTTTTTTTTTTTTGGCCTTATCAGTTTTCTGATTACAATGATCCTTTCTTAACCAGCAATTCCCTGAATGTGAAATTCTAGTTTATTGGAGTTTACTTGCAGGTATGTTTTTCATGACCACAGAAGTTTCAATTGTGAATTGTGAATCATTTGTGAATTTTATATGTTCATTGTCTTGGGGATTATTAAAAAGATTGGGGACTCAGAATTCAGAATAGAACAAGGAGATGAAGTCTATGGCGCAGAAGGAGTAAAGGTTGTACAATAGTTATTAGAAAGGTTAAAGGAAGAAGAAAGAAGAAGATAACTCTGTTTTTTTGGGTGGGGGGGGAGGGAGAGAGAGAGAGAAACATCAATGTAAGAGAGAAACATTGATGGGCTGCCTCCTGTACACCCTCTACTGGGAATTGAGCCCGAAACCTGGGCATGTGCCCTGCAGGGGAATCCAGCTGGGACCTCTTAGTCCATGGTACATGCTCAGTCCACTGAGCCACACTGATGGGGGATAATTCTGATCTTTACCATTGCATTCTGGTGGTTTTGTAAGAAAGGGAAGGAGGAGGAGAAGGGAACCGAGACTTCTTAAGAAGAACTGTGGAGCCAGCAGGAAGAAGAGGTAGGAAGGCAAGACCATGAGGCAGGATTAGGAGCGGAAGTCAATAGGTCATGAATCACTGATTAGAAATACACTGACCATACTAGTGGAGAAACTTGTAAAACCCTAATTCCATACACCCATGTGTAATATCCACAACAAAGCAAAACACATTTGCATGCACTTTGTTGGAGATACGAAAGAGAGTCAAGGCTGGTAAGTAGAAAAGAATACAACAGACCCCATTACAAACATATGATGTGTAAATGTCATTGATCATATGAGTGTTCTAAATTAACGATTTTTACTTTAATGAATGCAAAACAAAAAAAGCATGTAAGGGCTTTCTTAGGTGTATACTCACACTCCGTCCCCTCCCCCAGTACCCAGCAGCTTCTGAGCAAACCCTTCCTGTTGCATTCCTCAGTTCCACTTTAAGGAAGAGGTCTTTCCCTTTGGGTTGACTCATCTTGAAGACTCTTGGATTTAAATCTAATCTTGCTCTCCATCCACCCATGTGGAGTTCTTTCTTGCTTCCTGGAGCCACCTTGCCTAGTTCTCAGACATCAGTTTACCTTTGCCTCACATACCTACCTGCTGGTCAGCTATTGTCATCCTCATTCAAAGTCCGTAATACTTGTCTCTGTTCTGGAATCTTTCCTATAAGTGAGAAGAGGCACCCCTGATTTCCCTTGTACCCAAGATTTTAAAGTCAACTGTGAATTCTATAATTTTTTGCTTTATGTAACTCAAGCCCATGTGGTGGAAGAGAAAGGAGAGGTATTGTTATATTTATTTACATGACAAGAGAGTTTATATTTAGTGTACATCTACTATATACCAGAGACCAAATGTGCTAAACATTTTATACACCTTCAGTGCTGTTATAATCTCTCTGCTGATGAAGACACAGGGTCACATGGTCAGGAAGTGATGGTGCTGACTTTGAACCCAAGGATGTTTTCAAGGCAGAAAGGGCCTCGACACGGGTTTTCTGAACCCCTCTTTTGTTTTCATAGTGGGCTGCGTTCTTCTGGTTTGTGCTCTCCTTATTGTAGCAGGGTAGGCTGTACATTTCAAAATCCAAATAAATCTAAACTACAGCTCCCCACCCCCTATTAAACTAAACTTTTATTGTTTATTAAAATGACCACTTTTAAATCAGTGTATTCTTGTCACATTTTTGTTGTTGTTGTTGTTGTTAATTTTCATCCGAGGATATTTTTCCATTGATTTTTAGAGAGAGTGTAAGGGAGAGAGGGAAGGAGAAAGAGACAGAGAGAGATGAGGATGAGAGAGAGAGAGAGAGAGAGAGAGAGAGAGAGAGAGAGAGAAGCATCGATGTGAGAAAGACACATCAATTGGTTGCCACCCACACGATCCCAACCAGGACAGGACCAGGGACCAAACTGCAACTGAGGTTCGTGCTCTTGACCAGAGTCAAACCCAAGATTCTGGTCCATGGGCTAATGCTCTAACCGCTGACCCAAACTGGTCAGGGCAATTTTAATCATTTTTATTTTTATTTTTTATCCTTACCTGAGGACATTTTTGCCTTTATCTTCAGATAGAGCAGGAAGGAGAGAGGGAGGAAGAGAGAGAGAGAAACATCAATGTGAGAGAGACACATTGACTGGTTACCATCTGTATGACCCCAACCAAGGCCGGAGACAAATGGCAACTGAAGTATGTACCCTTGGCAGGAACCAAACCCAGGACTCTCTGGTCCACATGCTGATGCTCTAACCGCTGAGCCAAACGGGCCAGGGCTTAGTCATTTTTTAAATGTAGTGGCATTACATACATATTGTGCAACCATTATCACTACTGGTCTCTAAAACCTGTTTTCATCTTTCCAAAGTGAAATTCTGTACAGTTAAACAATAACTCCCCATTGTCCTATCTCTCAGCCATAGAAACCATCATTCTACTTTCTGTCTCAAAGATTTTGACAGCTTTAGGTTCTTTTATAAGCGGAATCATAGGATATTTGTCCTTTTATGTCTGGCTTATTTTACTTAGCATAGTATCATCCATACTGCAGCCTGTTTCTGAATTTCCTTCCTTTTTAAGCCTGAGTAATATTCCATTATGTGTATGTGACACATTTTGTTTTTCCATTCATATCTATCAATGTACACTTGGGATGCTTCTACCTTTTGTCTACTGTGAATAATGCTGCTAAGAAAATGATTGTACAAATATGTCTGTGAGTCCCTCTTTTCAATTCCATTAGGTATATGCACAAGAATTGCTGGGCTATATGGTAGTTCTGTGTTTAATTTTTTGAGGAACCGCTGTACTATTTTATAGTGGCTGCACCATTTTACATTCCTATCAACAGTGCACAAGGGTTTCAGTTTCTTTACATCCTCACCAATGACTTGTTCTTTTCTGGTGTTTGTTTTTTGTCTTTACAGTGGCCATCCTAATGGGTATGAAGTGATGTCTCAGTGTGGTTTTGATTCACATTTCCCTAACGAATAATGATGTCGAGCATCTTTTCACGTGTCTTTTGGCCATTTGTATATCTTCACTGGATAAATGTCTATTTCTTTTGCCAATTTCTTAATTGGGTTATTTTGTTGTTCAGTTATAGGAGTTCTCTATATATTCTGAATATGAACCTCTTGTCATATATTTGATACGCAAATATCTTTTTCCATTCTGGAGTTGCCTTTACACTCTGTTGATGGTGTCCTTTGATGCACAAGGTTTTTACTTTGAAGTACTAGAATTTATTTATTTATTTTGTTGTTATTACCTGTGCTTTTGGTGTCATATCCGAAAAAATCATTGCCAAATCCAATGTCATGAAGCTTTTTACTATGTTTTCTTCTAAGAGTGTTAGAGTTTTAGCTCCCGTATTTAAGTATTTGATTCATTTTGAGTTAATCTACTTATGCTGTAGTGTAAGGATCCAACGTCATTCTTCTGCCTGTGGATCACGCACCATTTTCCCACACCATTTATTGAAAGGTAGCTACTTCTTAAGCAAGGCTTGTTTTAGTGGGTGTTTCCAAAGCAGATGGTTACCATTTCAAAGGTCGAACAGATAATGATTAAGTTGTACATCACTTGAAGGTTGAAGAGTACAGAAGATCTAAGATCATTTACATCCCCTGGGGGTGGGTGGGGGCATAACTTAGCCTTCTAGGGCAATGAAGAAAAAACTAAAAAGTTGCGGGACGTTCCAGAGGCCAAAGTACATCTGCTTGGTTTGCTTTCTCCAAACTCCACACTCAGTTGGTTGGAGTGGCCTCCCTCTTACCTGACAGCCTGGGAGGGTTGGTGGGAACATGTCCTCATCGTTCCTGTGGTGTATGGTTATTTTACTGACATTTGCTGAATCACATGATGAAGCTGGAAGATTTGAGTTGCAGAGGCAAAAAAGGAATGCTGACCTCCAACAGTAAGTAGACACATGGATTATTTCTGCTGAGAGAGTAGGGTAGTTACTCATCCAGGTTCACAAATAGCCAGAGAAGCTGAAGTGTCATTTTTCTTGAGGAAAATAATGGTATTTAAAACAAATAGGGAAAAATGTATAGAACCATCTTCTTGCGCACAAATCATTTATTTATCATTTTGCAAATAAGGGAAGTATGCAATTACTAGGAGGTATCTCCAGGAAATTTGCAGAGAAAGAAATGACAGATGAACAGGGAGAATTTAGTTGAGTTGACCACAGTGTAGAGTTGTCTATAATTATTCAATGAAAAACTTTATTCTTTGGATTTAAAAATTATATATGCTAATTACTGATGCATTCTCTGGTTTGAATTATATAGGCCCCGAATGGCTACAGAGAGAGGAAATTTAGTGTTTCTTACTGGGTCTGCTCAAAACATTGAATTTAAAACTGGATCCCTGGGGAAAATTAAATTAAATGATGAAGACCTTGGCGAGTGTTTACATCAGGTAATACCCTGGAAAAATATTAAAGTAATTTTGTATATCCACACATGGATGGTTACATAATTGAACAGCTCTGTATTAATCTGTACCTTTAGCCCAGGGGACAGAATTGGAGGTCCACGGGTCCACGAAATGAACAATGCCCTAGAGTTCATGATGGGTAGAGGGGGTGATGCTGGTAATGAACAGGCTTATGTAATCGAGTCCAGAGAAGGCCAGAGGGCAGTCCTGGGGACTCCTTCACAAGGGGAGCAAGGAAGGAGTGGAAGTGACCAGTTCACTTTTACTACAGAACAGAAGTGGCCGATTATCTTCCTGCCATGTTGCGTGTGTTCAGTGCTCGGGATTCGTGGTACCATGCTGGTGCGTCCGTCACAGTGCAGCAGCTGCATTGCTTCGGGCTTGCTGTGGGCTCTCCACGGCGCTCAGCATTTATGGGCATTATCTCACCTAACCCTCACAGCTGCCCTGAGGCTGGCTTGATCGCGACCCCATTTACAGGGGAGGTCAAGAAGCGCTGCCGCCGTTCCGTCACTTGTCCAAGGGCACACCGAAAATGACTGCGCTGAGATTTAAAACCTGAGCAGTCTGATTCCAAGCCAGACCTTCTAACAAGCACTCCAAACCGTTATTCTGGGGGGAAAATGCAAAATGGAAAATCCCTTGATAGATTGTTGCTGAAAACAGTGGATGGAATGATGCCATGGCTATTTTAGTCTGATGTTTGTTATACATGGCACTGTTTGGGCTTCTATAATTATGGGCAAGATCTTGGTGCTTAAAATAAAATACTTCTCTAATTTTATTTTTTATTTATTTATTTTTATCCTCACCCGAGGACATTTTTGCATTTATCTTTAGATAGAGCAGGAGGGAGAGAGGGAGAGAGAGAGAGAGAGAGAGAGAGAGAGAGAGAGAGAGAGATGTGAGAGAGACACATTGCCTGGTTGCCACCCACACAACCCCAACTGGGTGGGGCCAGGGACAAACTGCAACCAAGGTACGTGCCCTTAGCAGGAACCGAACCCGGGTCTCTCTGGTCCATGGGCCAATGCTCTAACCATTGAACCCAACCGGCCAGGGCAATGCTTCTCTAAGTTTAAAATTTTGTCCCTATAATACACATACATACATTTTTTACTAACATTCTCTTCCTCCTCTTCTCTCTCCTCCTCTTCCTTTTCCTTCTTCATCTTCTTTTTAAAATTAGATCCAGAAAAACAAAGATGATATTACAGATTTAAAAAGGAGTGCAGTTGGTCTGCCCCAAAATATTTCTAGTGAAATCCATCAGCTTAATTCCAAGGTAAGTCTGACATCTATACCATTAGAGCGAGTGGGTTCTCCTTAATTCAACTGAATAAGTCACCATTTTGCAGGAGATACACCTCCTTTGTGTCTTCTGTAGAAAGTTCACATTGTAGTCATGGATTTTCTGGCCCAATGACACAGCCCTGACAGAGGGCGTGGGCATGGTGATGGGCAGAATGTTGGAAATACTGTGGCAAGAACTTGATGCACAACTGACCGTGCTCACATCCTGATAACAACCTTCTCTTTGGAGAAGTGGATTAATCCCTGTCATTTATAAAAAGTCCCAGAATCACTGTGTGCAGAGAAGCAATGAATCAACTTATCAGTGGGTTGTAATTCTTTTAAAAAATGCTTTAAAAATCATCCACGCGGTGGAAGGAAGGGAAGCTTGGAGAGGCATGAGGTGTGGCAATAAAGGAGAAACAAAGAGATAAAGCTAGCCCCCCCAGAGGGGATTAGGAAAGCATGTCAAGGGAACGCTGTTTTATATGAAATGCCTTTAAACCAGGAAACTGATGCTCTTTTCTCCCACTTCTAGTTTGTGGATCTTGAGAGAAAATTTCAAAGCTTACAGCAGGTAAGCCCATAAGCACTACGTATTTAACATCCTTTACTTAAACTAGAGTCATTGATGAATCTAGTACGCTTAAAGATGGATGGATGATTAACATTAAAGACTGACTTTTTCTATCATTTAATTCTCATCATGGTTTATGCTTCCCATGATCCAGATGAGGAGCCCGAGTCTCAGGGAGGTGAAGGGACCAGCCCCAGGTCACTGGGCATGTGAGCAGAGGCCTGCTGACTGAGTTCAGCAGTTCACACGTTCTTCCTCTCATGCTATGTCCCTTTAATGCTGTCATGGGGGCTTGTGTGTGCTCTGGCCAGCTGCTGACCACCCAGCTTGCCAACTCTGGCATCAAGGACTAAGTTCTGAAAGGCCGTGTATCCTCTCTAACAGTAAATTCAGAAGTCGGGGGTGTATCACAAAACATTAAACATTTCCTTAAAAGAAAATTTGCTGGTGATTAAACTTGAACCATTTCTTAGAGTATGCCTTCCATGACTGTGCGACATGCTTGTAAACTAGTCCTTCTGATTTTAGATGTTTGACCCCTTTTGTAGGCTGGCATTTTTGAGAGTTTCATAGAAGCTGTAACCTTCTACCCAAAGAAATGCACAGAGTGTCCCATATTTGAAATTTTAAATAAAACTCAGGGGTTTCCAGGTTACCAGTCTCTGCCCCAATGTCCTTGATCTGTTTTGATTGTGCTTCAAATATTATCTACTATTTTGGTGTTTTAAATTTGACAAACACGTTCATTTATGCCTTTTCCCCACTTGGATAATGTACTGCACGCTTCACCTTGATCATTTAAGGGAGTAGCTAAGAGAATGAAAATGAGCAAGGAATCATTCCTGTGGAACAAGACGCAGCACTGAAGTTTTCAGTCTCCTGGAGTGCTTCATTATCCCTACCAGACATCTAGAACTAGAGGCCATGATCAAAATTAGCTCAGACAGACTCCGTACCCCCCAGGAAGGATTTTTTTTTTATCCTCACCCGAGGACATTTTTGCATTTTTTTGTTCAGACAGAGCGGGAGGGAGAGAGAGGAAGAGAGAGAGAGAGAAACATCGATGTGAAGGGACACATCGAGTGGCTGCCACCCGCACGACCAACCAGGGCCGGGGACAAACTGCAACCGAGGTACGCACCCTTAGCGGGAACCAAACCCGGGTCTCTCTGTACCGCAGGCCGACGCTCTAACCGCTGAGCCAAACTGGCCAGGGCCCAGGAAGGATTTTTAATGATGTCTGAATGGGAGTGCCGTTGTCCTTTGGATAGGGCAGGTGATCTCTGAGCCCTACTCCCCACTGGTCCCTATTGTCTTCCTCCTGACTGCTCAGTGATTCCATTTCCTGCTGGGCCCCCACAGGATTCTGTGTTTCTATTCCCGAGACAGAATTGCTTTTGTACACCAGAAAAACTTTTAATGAGATTGTGGTTAACTTTCTTTCCCTTTCTTTTATTAATACTCACCTGAGGACATTATTCTATTAATCTTTAGATAGAGTGAGAAGGAGGGAGGGAGAGAGAGAGAGAGAGAGAAACATTGATATGAGAGAGACACATCAACTGGTTGCCTCCTGCATGACCCTGACCAGGGCTGGGGATGAACCTCAACCGAGGTACATGCCCTTGACCAGAATTGAACCCGAGACTCTTTGGTCCACGGGTCAATGGTCTAACCATTGAGCAAAACTGGCCAGGGCTGTGGTTAACTTTCTTAATAGTGTCCTTTGAAGAACAAAGCTACTTGTGGTACCGGTACAAAGACAGACAAATAGAATAATGGAAGAAAACATAGTCCAGAAAGAGACCCTCATGTGGGTGATCAGCTGACTTACGACAAAGATGAGCGAGAGTAGGCTTTGCAAGAAATGGTGCTGAGACATTTGCTTGGCTGTCCTCTGGCTCCCAGTTCCCTCGGAAGAATGAAAGGAACAGACTGGATGTTCTCTGTGAGTTCCTGAATATTTTTTAAAATGTAGTGAATAATTTGCTCCTATTTCAGTTTTAAAACATAGAATTAGACTATGATTAGGTGAAATCAATAGGATGCCTTTCCTTGCCTCATCACTTGTCTTTTCTAAAGAAGTGTTCTCTGCCCCGCCCCCAACCATGACAACTTCTACAAGATTGGAACCATAGCTGACATTTTCCCCAGGTTGTGTAGACAAAGGCGGTCTGTGTGTGCCTCTGAAACGTGTCCTGTGAGCATGAGAGTGGAGGGTGTAGCTAAGCACTTTGCAAACAAAGGGACTCGGATGGAAAGCTTCAGGCATCTTGACCCCTGGAGGATCCTATTTCAAATGCTCACCTGGGCAAACCCAAGATAACATGACAGCGGAAGAACCGGACTCTCTCTTTTACTTTCTCAGATAAGAATGTCCACTGTCATCCCCACACCCAGAATCTTTACGCTGGTCTAGCAACACAGATTTCTCAGGTGGACCGCACCTTTCCAGAGAATGGAGTGAGAATCTTCTCACCTCCTGCTTCGTCCCATCCATGGGTAATAGTAAAGGAATATGACTAGGACCTATATGAGACACTATTTTTATTTTCTTCACAAGACAATTGAGTTGACGAAGAATTTAAGGAATTGATTTAAAACTTGGAGGAAGCCCCCCAGCGAGTCAGTACAACGTAGTTTGACACACACTGAAGGTGCCTGTCACGGCTGCCTGCAGCAGGGACCACTGCCGGCTGACTGTCCCGTCTTTGTTTCAGACCGTTGACAGAAAGGTTTGCGGCAGCAATCCCTGCCAGAACGGTGGCACCTGCCTCAATCTTCACGATTCCTTCTTCTGCATCTGCCCTTCCCAGTGGAAGGTGAGTCCCTTCGTCGTTAAAAACCATGCTGAGTAGCATCTGTGGTTTCCTTGGAATGATTCAGATATAGGTAAGTTTCCACCCAAAAGTTTCTGGGTTTCTGTGGTCTTCTGAATCAGAAGGAATTGTCCTGTGTAGGTCACCATCCGAACCATGGCAGCAGGAGTCTATAACCCTCTAAACACTAAGCCATCTGAAGCAGGGGGTCACTGGAGTGGATTACTACACGAAGAACATGATATTCTGGCTAACATTCATGTAAATTGTTCAGCATTAAATGTACAAAACAGATCTGACATAACCTTGTACACATTCTTGCTATTTTCCATTAATGGTGAAAATGTTCCTGACCTGTGCATTAAAATAAAATCGGTGAGTGAGTATTCCCAGGCCTAGCGCTACAGGGAACTGAGAATTAGTTTGCGTAGGTTTCTACTTGTGTAGACTGGTGTTGTCTTATGAAGAGCTCTTTGGCTTTATCAGGTGAAATCTGAGTTCTGGTAGAAGGATAATCAGAGATTCATGTTAGTATTAGTATCATCGGATTTGGCCTGACTGAGACTTCTTTACTGTCTGTGTGTAATTATTTAAACAGGGGTGGGGACCGTGCAGCCCATGGGCCGCGTAAGGCCCTCGAAATTAATCCCCGCTAACAGTACACGCCTCACCTAATCAGCCTGACCAAATACTGCAGGCCGATTTTTAAGTTGATAACTTTGTATGGCCCTCGAGTGATGTTCTAAATATCCAAATGGCCTTAAGCAGGAAAAAGGTTCCCCACCCCCGCATGGCTGTGGCACCTGACTTGTCCCTTCCACGCTCACAGGGGCCTCTGTGCTCGGTGGATGTGAACGAGTGTGAGGTGTACTCGGGGACGCCCTTCAGCTGCCAGAATGGAGCCACGTGCATCAACACGGCCGGGAGTTACAGGTACCGTTTCCTCTTTGTCCTTTAAACAAGGAGCATTTCTCTTTCGTTCTTGTGGGTCCGTATTGGCTTCAGTTTGGGTTTGATCTGCACGACTCGTTGGTGGGCTGGGGCCCGAGGAGCAATGGCTCCCTGAGAGATGTCCACCCCAAGGCTCAGCTCAAAAGCCCCCAGAGAGTTGAGCAGAAACATGTGAAGTCTCTTAAAGCTTTGGGTAATAATGACCACTTTTGCATATTTATTTATTTATTATTTTTAAAATCTTTATTGTTGACTGTATTACAGATGTTCCTCATTTTTCCCCCATTGACCCCCTCCTCTCCACTCCCGCCTTTTCCCATACTGTTGTCTGTGTCCATTGGTTATGCATATAAGTTCTTTGGTTTATTTCTTCCCACCCCCCAACCCCTTTCCCTTTGAGGTTTGTCAGTCTAGCAATGAATTTGTACTTCTTAATCCCTTCACCTTTTTCACCCATTTATGCAACCCCCCTCCCATCTGGCAACCAACAAAATGTTCTCTGTATCTATGAGAATGTTTCTGTTCTGCCTGTTCATTTTGTTTGTAGATGCCATTGTCGATAGATATGTATTCATTGCCATTTTGTTTGTTCATATATTTTATCTTTTTCTTCAAAAAGACCCTTCAACATTTCATATAATAGCGGTTTGGTGGTGATGAACTCCTTTAACTTTTTCTTGTCTGGGAAACTCTTTATATGGCCATTGATTCTAAATGACAGCTTTGCAGGATAGAGTAATCTTGGTTGTAGGTTCTTTCTTTTTATCACCCTGAATATTTCTTGCCACTCCTTTCTGGCCTGCAAAGTTTCTTTTGAGAAATCAGCTGACAGCCTTATGGGAACTCCCTTGTAGGTAACGAACTGCTTTTCTCTTGCTGCTTTTAAGATTCTCTCTTTGTATTGAACCTTTTGCATTTTAATGATGATGTGTCTTGGTATGGGCCTCTTGGGGTTCATCTTGTTTGGGACTCTCTGTGCTTCCTGGATTTGTATGTCTGTTTCCTTCACCAAGTTAGGAAAGTTTTCTTCCATTATTGTTTCAAATAGGTTTTCAATTTCTTGTTCTCGCTCTTCTTCTGGCACCCCCAAGATGCGAATGTTGGCATGCTTGAAGTTGTCCCAGAGGCTCCTTACACTATCCTCATTTTTTGGATTCTTTTTTCTTTTTGCTGTTCTGATTGGGTGTTTTTTGCTTCCTTCTATTCCAAATCAATGGTTTGCTTCTTGGATTTACGTACTCTACTATTGAATCTGTGTAAATTATTCTTTATTTCAGTTAATGCCTCCTTCATTTCTGATTGTGCATCCATCATTTCTGACTGGTCCTTTTTTATGTTTTTGAGGCCCTCACTAAGTTCACTGAGGTTCTCACTAAGTTCATTGAGCATCCTTATAGGCAGTATTTTGAACTCAGCATCTGTTAGATTACTTATCTCCATTTCGCTTAGTTCTTTTCTTGGGGTTTTGTTCTGTTCTTTCATTTGGGACCTGTTTCTTTGTCTCCTCATTTTGGCTGCCTCCCTGTGTTTGTTTTTGTGTATTACTTAATGAGAGGTATGGGGCTAGCTGAGACCAGATGCTGCTTGTTTGAAAGAATTTAGGAAAAACCTGAAGCAGGATCCAAGTCAGGCCAAGCTTATGGTTAAGCAAGTGGCAACAGCTTGGGTGGGCCTGAAAGTTGGGTGGGGCGGGGCCTTAGGGAGTCAGCAGGGCGGGGCTACCAGTGTGAGCCAGGTTGCTGGAGTCCCAGATATGGCAGCTGTCTGCCGCCCCAGGGAAGGGCTCACCAAAGGAACAAAGGCCTCTGACAGCACGTTTGTCCCGGAGAAAGCCCCCTCTCCAGCTCTCACTCCAGTGCCAACAGCTCAGTTCTTCCCTGTATGTCTCTGGCGCCCGTGGAGCTGCCTCCCCTCCAAGCTTAGAGGGAGAGAGTTCGATAAGTCCGTGCGCGGGCCCTTTAAGGAGCTGCCTGGGACTCCAGCCGCATCAGCCTCCCTGAGCCTCAGTTCCCGCTGGTTTTTCCAGCCAGACGTTATGGGGACTTCTCTTCCTGGCACTAGAACCCTGAGCGGGGCACCTGGTGTGGGACAGGGACCCCTGAGTCCTCAGGAAGGACCTTCCCAGCCGAGGTGTCCTCCTGATTTTTATCTGCCACACGTGGGTGTGGGACCAGCCCGTCCGCCTCCACCCCTCCTACCAGTCTGGATGTGGCTGCTGCTTTAATTCCGTAGTTGTGGGACTTCCATTCAGCTTGATTTCAGGCGGTTTTGAATGAGGGTTGTTCTGTAGTTTAGTTGTAACTTTGATGTGGTTGTGGGAGGACGCTACCGCGTTTACCTACCCGCCATCTTGACCGGAAGTCCCCCACTTTTGCATATTTAAAAATATATATTAGGGTGTGCTTCTGAACGACTAAAACGTCCCATAGTTAAGAGCAGCGAAGACTATGTGTACCAGCAGCGAAATTCGGTGCTCCATGGGGAACACGTGGCTGTTATTTAAAGTACACATAACTAGCCTGGCGGTGTGGCTCGGTGGTTGAGCGTCGACCCCTGCATCCAGAGGTCACCGGTTCGATTCCCGGTCAGGGCACAAACCCAGGTTGTGGACCTGATCCCCAGTGGGGGGCATCCAGGAGGTGGCCAATCGATGTTCTCTCTCATTGATGTTTCTGTCTCCCTCTCCTTCTCCCTCCCTCTCTCTCTCTCTCTCTAAAATTCAGTAAAGAAAAAAAGTGGCTGCGTTTAAAAAAAATAAATAAATAATAATAATAATAAAGTGCACAGAACTATGTACCTAGTGCAAGAAAAGCTTGCATCCTCAACTCGTACCCCGCACAGAAACCCTGTCTCTGGAGGCCCTGAGGAACTGGAAGAAGGCCACCGGGGCCGGCAGACGGCAGGGTGGAGATGCGGCTGAGGGTCAGGAAGAGTCAGATCAAAGCAGCAGATCTAAGAGCTTTAAACAGAAGCAGGTGTGGATGAAAAAGGGGTTCCGGGAAAAGTAACCTCTCAGGGAGATCTGATCATAAATTCCTAACTCGGCAGGTCATCGTGGGTAGTCAGGCATATAACTTCTTTAGTAAAAGGCTTATCTTTGCCTTAAGCGAGCCCTATCCATTGTTTTTGTGCATCTAGATTAACACCCCATTGAAATGTCCCCTTTAGGGCCCTCCTTCTAAACCTTGACCACCCTTCCCCAGCTGCTGTGGCTCAGTGGTTGAACGTCGACCCTGCACCTAGAGGTCGCAGGTTCAATTCAATTCCTGGTCAGGGCCCATGTCCAGGTTGTGGGCCCAATCCCCAGTGGGGGGCATGCAGGAGGCAGCCAATCCATGTTCTCTCTCAGAGATGTTTTTCTCTCTCCCTCTCCTTTCCCCACCCCCCTAAAAGTCAATAAAGGAAAAAAAATTTTTCTAAATCACTTTCTAAAAAAAAATCTCTTGACATTATCTTTCCCCATATATTGGTGGGTCCCTGGTACTCTGTGATTATGAAAAGATAAAGAAGTTGGTTTTGTCATGGCGAGAACAGTCTTTCCGTACTCTGGGGTGTAATCTCGCCAGAGGGAAGAGCAATTGTGGGCTCTCTTACTGGTATCTCTTCTGTCTTGTCCTTCAGTTCCCTCAGAACAACATTCATTCTGTTCTTCCCAGCACAAATCAGTACAGTAATTTGGGGATTTTTTTCCCCCTGGTCATCTGCAAACACACTATTTTGTCCCCCAAAGCACTCACAACCTTTCTCATTTAATTGATCCTTTGGTTCTTTTGATCTGATCTTAAGTGTTTTTTGTTCATGCTAAGTTATAAACTTAACTCATTGAAACTTCTGATAGCTAAAGCCATGAGTTAGTCATTGTGCAAAACCAAAATTAACCACCTCTAACTTAAATTAATATTCTTTTTAAGAGCTTTTTGCTATCTGGATTTTGTTTCTCATTTAAATTATCCACCCCTGCCCCCTTCCTGCTTTTATAAATATTCAAACTTGGACTAGGTCTAGAATGTGAACCTAATCTTTCATTCTCTTGGAAGCCTTATCTCCTGATTTATGTTTATGGGCATTTATCAAAGAGAATTGCTGCTTGTAGATGTTAGTGGCAAATGTCCCGACTTCTAGCACTAATGCTTTACTGCCTTCCTGATATCTAGGAATGTCCTGGAAATGAGATCTCACTCTGGTCTTTCTTTACCATCACTGCCTTCCGGGGTCTTACAAGGCAGGGGAACATCAAAGGTGTGAAGTGGGATGCGATCCATAGACCAAGGCAAAATTGTTCCCCCCACCCCCCAGCACATTATAGTCTCCCCCAAAACCCTGCCCACCTCTGCAAATAGAAAGGTATATCTGCATTACAGGGGTGGAAATGCTTTGTCCAGATACAGATAGGAAAGGGAGATGGAGAGGTTTCTTTCTGTTCAGAGCTGCCTAAAGAGTAAACAGCAGATTGCCGCTGTTCAGAGCAATGCTCAGCTCTCTCTTGCACACACCTGTAAAAGACTCCATGTGTTGATTCTGGAAATGGTTCTGGTTTTCTCTGCCCTTTATGGATTTGCTGGAAGATAGAAGAGAGTAGAACATTTAAATCTGTTTATTCCTCTTGATATGGGGATAGTTTATGGAGCCTCAGGAATTCCACTCAATTTTCTGCAACATAAACACCCCAATTCAGGTATATGATAGAGTCTGGGCATCAGTAATGAAACAGCAATCACTTCGAGGCTTCCTTGAGTTCTGGTAATTATGTGAGGTTCAATCCCTGTTAATCAGTAATTGCTCTGGGGCTAGTAACCCCTTGGGGAAACTTCAGACATGTGTCACATTGAACTTGGAGGCTGTGGACGAATCTGGAACTGCAGCAATAAGGCGGGCAGTTTGCTCCGGCTTTGGGGCCTCCTTCAGGCTGTCAGTCTGGGGTGACAAAGGAGTCTATTGAAAGGGATTATAATTCCTCCTATGAAAGATAAAGTACTATGCAAATGTAATTAATTGAAAGCCCTAGTTCATAGGAAAGTTTCTGGTTAGAGTTAATTTTTAGAATAATGACAGTAGACGGAGGAACACCATGGTCTGTTTCCACCCAGAAGGTCTTGGCCTCAACTGCTTGGGCAGCTGACAACTAAGACTCTGCCACTTCACAGGCTGTCACTGCCTCTTTGTTCCCAAGAATGGACTCTTATTGTTCTCCTTCTTACTTTGGATTGAGACAGCCCTTGGGCTTCACATTTGCCATGTGTATTATATACTTCAGGCTCAGACCGAGAAGGCTTTCTAGAAAAAAAAAAAAAGTTGCGTTTTTTGGTCTGTTTTCCTTTCTCCAGGAACACAAGGTGATTAGCAGGTTTTAGTTTATGCCTTTCCCTTCTCATCTCTGGTGGATTTTAGAACATGGAGAGCTTAAACCATGAAGATGGTCTGGTTTTTGCTCAGAAATTAGTTAGGTATTAAACGTATTACCTCTTTCAATTATAGTCACATTGAACCATGGACTCTGAAGCAAGTTAAACTATGACTATGAAAGTATATTTGACCTCTCGAATTGCCAAGGGCCCTTGCAGTGTTTTGAAGACTGAAAAGCCGGGTTTTATTCTACTGGAACAAATCAGCAATACAAGGTCATTACAAAAGTGACTTCTGCAGGGAGGAATATCATTCTTTACTCTCTCTCTAAAGGCCATATCCAGATATTCTGAGAATACATTTTACATACAAACACTGTTATGTTAAAAAGAGATAAAAAGGAAAAGTCCTCAACTAACTTTACCTTTCTGGATGTGGGAATGTGGCCTAGAAAAATCAGTGGTGCAAGGGTAACACAGACAGGTTTTTAATTGATCGTCTAACAAATGTCCACATCTGTAGCCTTGGGCCATGTGAGTCTTGCCTGTAAAATGGGACTAAGAATACTTGTTTTAGAGGATCACAGCAGAGGACGCTGATAGTGTGCCTGGCTTCTTCCTCTCCATCTCTTTGTCACATTATCTGAACTTAAATGAGAGAAGTATACTTCCTGTGTGTATTTATTGATTGATTGATTTTTGTATGTGCCCCTAGCGGGAACCAAACCCGGGATTCTCTGGTCCGCAGGACGACACTCCAACCACTGAGCCAAACCGGCCAGGGCCTTCCTACCTGTTCAGAGGAGAGTATAGGATTAAAATGAACACAGCACCAGTGATAACAGCAAGGGAGAAGGAAGAGAGATAAAGTGAGAGGATTCAACAGCAAGTCCATGTATCAGAATTTCCTCTCAAATCTTAAGTCAATTTCCAGTAGTAAAGCATTTAGTGGTAAGATGAACACAATTTTCTGAGCACTTCCTATGGGAAAATGCCTTTAGATCCTAAGATGAAAATAGTGTTGATAGATTGGCACAATTATCTTATAAGAAACAGAGTTATTACATTGCCTGGGATGAACAGTTAACTGCTATGGTCAATCATGTCCCGTGAGGTCCAGAATACTCAGAGCTTTCACACATGATAGACTCCAAAAGCTAGTAATAATTGATTTAAAGATGCAAAAAAAATTTATTTGGCAGGTGGAGGTGGTGATAAAATAAACTTTTGGCAAGGGAGCCACCTGGATCAAATATTCAAATATCACTACGTGAAATAGTCTGAAGTTCTATAATCTCTAAGAATCAAATTAAATTCTGTGAAAGAATAGTTTCTTTATAGATGGCAGAGCGCCGAAGAAAGGGAAGAGAATATGAGATGGAGAGTGTGGAAAGAGAGAGGAGAGGAAGATAAATCACTTCTGATAGGGAATGGATAATTGAATTTCTTTTTAAGTTTAATCATCTATTGCTATTCATCTATGACCTAATCTTAATGAGAAAGACTACCTTGGAATGCTCAGAAATATGATTTCTTATTGGAACAGCTTTTACATGACTATATATTGGTGTTGCAAATTGCGCGGAGCCAGAAAAGCATTTACTTACCTGAAATTCGGATTTCACGGGTATCCCGTAACTTTATCTTCTAGGTCTGGCAACACCTCACGTGAGCGCCTGAGCGCTACTCACCATTTCTTACTCTCCATCTCTGGCCGCATTCGCTGATATCCTATTCACTCAAAGGTGCCACCCCAACAATTGTTTCTGGGATCCTCCATGGGTACACCAGGTTCTGTGCCCCGAGTGTGACTCTTGATGCTTCTCAAACAGCCACACTCTCATTTCGCACAGTGTCAATCACATGTTTGTTTCCATCATGGACATCAGCTGAACCACTTGTGCTGTTCAAAGAGCTTCTTTATCTTGTAGAGTGGCCCCCTTTCCAGAACACTCAGAAACGAGTCCTTGGTTCATGGCCGAGCAGCTCCTCCCTGTTCCTCACCTCTAGCCCCCGGCCCCAGTGGTCAGTTCCCTCCATGAGGTCCAGCGCTGTTCAAGGCAGGCAAGCAGGGGCCTGTGGGCCTGGCTCTCCACTCCACACACCATGCTCAGATCTGTGTTCATATCTGCACGCTCCACCTCCGCGGCGCCCGGCTCGTACCTTCCACATTCCCTTTGGAGACGGTGCAGACAGAAAGCTAACTCTGTTGTTGTAAGACTTATGCAAAGCTTAAAGAAAATTTAAAACAACTGTGCTTCTTTGGCTATTGTTGCACTGAAATCTTCTTGAAGCACAGCACCTACCGAGAGTTAGGTATTATGTCATAATTACTTCTTGTGGGGTGAAATGTGACTACGTAAAGTATGTCTCACAGATCGAAGTATCGCCCTGTGTAATGCAGTAACAATTACCATAGATGTGGATATCACCCTGCTTGTGGGGTCACACAGTTCTGGAGAACATTTAGGAATTTATCAGCTCAGTCAAGGTCACCTGTGCTTACCAGTGGGCCCAGCTGGACAGGTGATAAATGGACTTGCTGGTCTCTTCCTTGACTATCTTGAACAAACTCTTAGTTTATGGCTGTCTGAACTTTGAAAGGTTTGATGACTTGATAGCAGAAAAACTGCTAGAGGCAGACTTGCCCAGACGGAAAGTTGTGCCCCTCTCACACTGCCTTGAGGCGATGGCACGTGACTGACCGCCCTGCCAGAAGCACAGCCGAGTGGTTTTCTCCCCAGACTTCAGCCAGTCTGGTTTGCTGCTCCACGCTTCCACGTGAACGTCACTGACCTGCAGTTGGAATTATTATTTTTTATTGATGCTAAGAACAGGCACTCATCCTGACACAAGCCCTGACATTGTGCTCTTGTGTGACCACAGTTGTCGCTGCTCGCCCGACACACACGGCCCCCAGTGTGCATCCAAATACAATGACTGCGAAGGGGGCTCCCAGGCGCTGTGTGTCCACGGCATCTGCGAGGACCAAGTCCGCGTGCAGGATGGACAGGTGGGTTCTTTCCTCACCAGGACTCCCTGGAGGGGTCAGGGGCATCCGTCTGCCATCCTGCCTGATGGTGAGCAGCATGGCCCTGGGAGGTGGCACACAAGAAGCCACTTCCTGCCCTGAGCAGGGCACAGGGGCTGAGAGGTATCTGTACATAAGCAGGAAACTGCACCCAGACTTTAAGGTTTCATTATATAAATTGCTAACATTTTTATTTTTCCTTCATGAATCTCTGTGAGATATGACCTTCTCTTGGCCTTGTGAGTTTTAAGTGACAAGACACGGAAACACAAAAGGCCCAGTCTTGTCAGCAACTGCAGTTTTAAGGAGTCTGGATTTTTCTGGCCCCAGTGACCGCTGCAGACTCTGAACGCACTTCTGCAGTGCCCCGTGCTCTGGGCCTGACAACCTTGACTCCTGACCCTCAAGGTCGCCCAGGCCTTCCTGCGTGGCCTTGTGTGAGACCTTCGGGTCTTTATATTTTGTTCCATTTTTATTTCTACTTACGCAATGGAAAATGGTTCCCTTCCAGTGATGGTGGAGGGGAGGGGAGCGAGAGGCTTGCACAAAGGAAACAAACAGAACTGATTTTCCAAGGCCTGTGCACATGGGTGTTTTTCCCTCTAAAAACACAGCAGGCTGAGGTGATTGACTTTAATTATATTGACTTACAGTTCTTGATTGTTGTTGCTCTTTCCCTGGGACCTTTGGGGGCAAATTACAGGTTTCCCTTACTCTGAAATAAAGATGTTTCTCTTTTTGGTTGGTCTGGTCTAAATGCTTAATCATATAGGAGGAAAAAGAGAAGCCACTCAATTATGGAAATGAGCGTCAGAGGGTAAACAGCCGGGGGCTTGGTGAGATTGTCTTAGGTTTTCTGGCTTGTTTTCTTGACTGTCTTGGTTCTCGCTCTCGTCCTCCCACAGCCCAGGTACAGCTGCATCTGCGATGCTGGCTGGACGTCCCCAGAGAACAGCTCGGCCTGCACACTGGACATGGATGAGTGCAGCCTCTGGCCAGCGCCGTGCTCGGCTCTGGTGCAGTGTTTCAACACTCCGGGCTCTTACCACTGTGGGGCCTGTCCCGCAGGTACGTGGGCACGTCTACGCCCAGCAGAGGCACCGCGCTGGCTCCGCGTGCCAGCCAGGCAAGGTGCCAGAGCCCGTGTCCTTCCGCCGCCAAGGGAGACCAGACAGTTCTCAGGAGGCATTCCAATCCGGCTTCATGCCCTACTTCACTAAGTCTCACTCCGGACCATCTTCCCGCTGTGACAACTGAACGGAAGGGAGGTTTGTCCCTGGCCGTGCTAGGGTCAAACACTGGGGGCACTGTTAGCCAGTTTGTGAGGTCAAACGTTTGTGTAGCCATCAACAGACTAGACTTGAGACCTAAAGGCGTGCTCTAGTTTCGCCTTTCACACCAGCCAGGTGTTTGTGAACTTGGCTGAATTATTCGTGTCTCTGCTTGAGTCCAGTAGTTCTCACCCAGGTGTGTCAGCTCCATCACAGATGTACAGGGACCAAATCTTCAGTGGGGGCAAATACAAAGTCATTAAAATGTGGACTCTGGACTCAGAGAGTGCCTAGGTCTGAGTCCAAGTTTATTCCTCCTTATGTGGGATCATCATCATCATCCATTTAATGCATCTTTGTAGTTCACCTGCTATGAGCAAAGCGTTGTGCTGGGTGCACTGGTAAGAATGAACCAGATCTCAGGGTGTACAAGGCTCGCCTGTACTCCTCGGGTGTTCTTTTATAGAAAAGTCACTAAGGCACTGTGATAGGCAGTGTTTAATTCTTACAAAAACCAAGAAATGGTAGCAATCAGTATCATTGCCATTTTCAAATATAAGAATGTGAGGCTTAGAGAAGGTGAATAACTTACCCAAGATCACGTAGCTTATAAGCAACAGCGTTCAAACTCAGGTCTGCCTGACTGGCGGAACTCTGCCCCTGAACACTGTCTGGGCCACCAAGGACCCCGCCCACCTGCTGCCTTACTCAGTGACTTTGGGTTTCATGAATTCATGTTTAGATCTTGTAAGAGGTTTGAAACATTGTCATAGTTGTGATCATTTAAATGATGAGTAACAAAACTTGACACAATTGAATAACACAGAAAAGTGTAAAGTACAATGATATTCCTTTTTGCACCTCCGGTCTCCAAAGGAGACCACTGTTAGTAGCTTGTACTTGCTCCTCTTCTACCTTTTCCTTCACCAAGACTATCACATTCTGCATATTATGATATTTTGTATTTTCATTTCTTTCTATATGTTGTGAGCACATTATTAAAAAGATTTTGTAGTATGCGTTGGTATAGATAAGTCATAATATAATTGGCTAGGCCCCGACTGACCATTGAGAGTTTCTTCTCCATTAACAGTGCTGCACTAGACATCTGCTTGCCTATTTCTCTCTATCCTGACAGTTTAACATTGCAGAACAAATTTTAAGAAGTGGAATTGGTAGTCAAATGGTATGTATTTTAAGAAATGCAATGAATACTGTCAGGTCTCTTTCCAAACAGGTTTTATTAATTTAACTTCTGACAACAGCATATAAGAGTACCCCAATTGCTCACCTCTTTGCCAGAATTTGATTCTAAAAATTTAAAACAGTTTTTGCTCTGGCTGGTTTGATTCAGTGGTTAGAGTGTTGACCTACAGACCAGAGTCTTGGGTTTGATTCCAGTTAAGGGCACATACTTCAGTTGCAGTTCAGTCCCTGGCCCTGGTCAGGGTCATGCGGGAAGCAACCAATCGATATGTCTCTCATGTGAATGTTTCTCTCTCTCTCTCTCCCACTCTATCTGAAGATAAATAAAAAAAATATTCTTGCCCTGGCCATTTTGGCTCAGCTGTTAGAGCATTGGCCCACAAACCAGAGAGGCCTGGGTTCGGTTCCTGCTAAGGGCACATACCTCAGTTGCAGTTTGTCCCCAGTCCCAGTTGGGGTCATGTGGGTGGCAGCCACTCCATGTGTCTCTCTCACATTGATGTTTTTCTCACTCCCTCCCTCTATCTCTCCTGCTCTATCTGAAGATAATGCAAAATGTCCTCAGGTGAGGATAAAATATATATATCTCCTTAGGTAAGGATAAAAATATATATATATTAAAACAATTTTTGCCAATCCAACAGAGTAAATTTCATTTTAATCTACAGTTTCTTATAGCTGAGCAGGTTTGTATATGTTTTTGACTATTGCTTTTCCTCTTTGTTGATTCATCAATAGAGCTAACTTTTCAAATCTTCTTGTTTTTCTAGGCTGGAAAGGAAATGGATATGATTGCCAAGATATTAATGAATGTGAGATAAACAATGGCGGTTGTTCTGTGGCTCCACCTGTTGAGTGTGTGAATACACCTGGATCTTACCACTGTCGGGCCTGTCCGCCAGGTACGACACTACGTTTCCTAATTCCATTACAGGCAAAGCATCTATTTAAAAACAGGATCTTTCCCTCCTTTTAAAATATGACCCAAGGAGATAAATTGAATAGTCTGGAGAGTTTTACTTATGGATTCAGGGCACATTAGTACAGCTGCATTATAAAAAGGAAATTAAAAAAATTTTTTTGAATATCAAAGGAAAACAAGAAACCTTTAAAGACTGTGAAATAACTTACTGAGATATTGCAGAATTTGAAAAGATTTCTCTGTGAATCACAGACCTACAGGTCTATTGTTCCCACAGCTAATTTATTACTATAATGTTTTACGTATAAAGTTTACTAAATAACAGGCCTAATAGTAGGTAGTAATACATGTTAATTTTGCTTCTCTCCTGGAAAGAAGTCATTACTGCTCTTCTCTAATCTAAATTGAGTTGCTATCCAGGAAGTTCAACGAGTTCTAAGGGATTAACTGAAACACTATATATTTCATTCACACAAAACAACAGTACTTTGGACTTCTACAGTAACTTAGCTCTAAGATCATCAAGTCACTGTAATTAAAAAATGTCAACTTTTTTAGTGTCAGCACTAAGTATACCAGTAGTTTCATATATCTTTTTATTTTTATTTTTATTTCTCATTTTGTAATTAGAAACAACTAAGAGCAGTGTTTCTGAAATCAGGTTTCTAATTCTTGTTGTCCTTTTTCTTAATTGTGGAATTTTGTTTATGACATTTTAAACTTACATTTCCGGTTTGATGATAGAGGATCTCTGGTTGGTCCGGTTCATGACATAGTTGATTCTCACTGGGAATCTTCTTCTTGAGTTTTCTTAACGCCTGTCATGTGCCTGCCCTTGCTGTGACCAGGGTACCAGGGCGACGGCAGAGTGTGCACGCTCGTCGACGCCTGTTCGGTCAACAACGGAGGCTGCCACCCACAGGCGTCGTGCTCCTCGGTCCCAGGTAATGCCTGCTCTCTCCCTCTGTTTGGGGTATTTTAATATGACCTTGTAAAACAAATCAACTTTTACAAATCAAAATCCTCTACCCTCAAAATTCTTGTTTTGATCTTCAAACCAAAAATTAATCCATATTATAAAACTATACATTGGGATCTTTAAAAATGCAATAGACTCTGCTCTTTTATGATATGTTCTAATTTAGCAATTATTTTCCAAAATAAGTCAGTCAGCTACTTATTTCATAATTGTATTTCAGTAAGCAGGAAGGAGAAAAGGAGGAAGGTGGATATGTTCACTTTCTTTAAGGATACTTTTATTTCTATGCTATTGGCCAGGACTGAGCCTGGCGGCTAACCCTGGCTTCAAGGGAGGCTGGGATATGTAGTCTTTATTTCAGGTGCCCATGCCCCCAATTAATATAAAAAATAAGGAAGGAAAAATGGAGCTAGGGAGACAACCAACGGTGTCTGCAATGCTGTGTAAAAGAAACTTCCACTCCAATAATTTAAACTTATATATTGCTAAACTTTCTCTCAGAAATGTTGTACCAATTTATATACTCACCAACAGTGTATGAAAATATACATTTACCCCACGCTTGACACTGAATACTATTGCTATTTTTCATTGTAGTCAATTTTATAGGCAAACTTTGCCTTCCTGTTATTTTAATTTTGACTAAATGAAAACTAAGGTTTTGGCTACTACTACTAATTATGTTTTACACACATTTAATGGCCATTGTTTCTATTTGTTCATGTCCTTTGATAATCTGCTTTCTTACTGATTTATAAAATTTCATTATGTATTGAAGACATTATTTCATTATCTGGCTCATATTTTACATGTATTTTCTCCTGGCATTTGTTTTTATTTTATCATTTTGTGGTGGTACTTTCCATTTGGAAGTTTAGAACTTTTATTTGGTTAAAATGGTAAATCTTTTCTTTTAGGATTTTCCCCTTAGAATTAGGCCTTCCCTACCAAGCAAATCTTTTAAAAAATACTCAAGTACATGTTCTTTTATATTTTCATTTATTTTAAACATTAAGTTCATTGATCTTTTTAGGATTTATTTTTATCTATAGCATCAAATAGAGATCTAGCTTAATATTTTTGTCCAAATGGGTGCCTGGCCCCAACTCCATTTACTAAATAATGTATCATATCTTTGGCTATTTCAAAATACCACTTTTATTTTTATTAGCATGTCACATATATGTACACATAGTAAAAAAATATATGTATATACACACTTGTAATTATTCAAATGTTTATTGAATGAGTAATAGCACACTAAAGAGATTAAAAGCATGAATTCTAGAAAAAAGACTACTGGGATTTTGATTTTTCCTTGGCTCCACTGTATTCTAGCTTTGTCTTTAACTGTAAGTGGGGATAATAGCAGTACGAACCTGCGAGGATTCAGTTAGTCAATATATGTGCGGTGCTTGCAACAGATATGATCATCATAAGAGTGCTTGTTTCTCTGTCAACCCCTCCATGATGGGAAACTCCCTATTCCCTTAGTGTACCTCACACTTGTGCACACTCAGGACCATGACGTGCAGATCAGTGTCAGTTTGTATATAAAGTATGGAAGACAGGTAATGCCTTCCTTATTTTATTTATTATTATATTTTTGTTAATCCTCATCTGAGGATATTTTTTAGATAGAGTGGAAGGGAAAGAGAGAGGGAGAGAGAGAAAAGAGAAACAGCCATGCGAGAGGAACACATTGACCGATTGTCTCCTGCATGACCCCGACCAGGGCTGAGGATGAATGGCAACTGAGGTCCATGCCCTTGACCGGAATCAAACCCGAGACTGTTTGGTCTGTGGGCTGATGCTCTAACCACTGAGCAAAACTGGCTAGGGCATGCCTTCCTTATTTTTAAGGTAAAAATAGGAAAATAAAGATTCTACTACATTCTCCTTAGACCATGTTTTACCATCCCTAGGGATCTGCCGACTCGACTTGGACAAGTTGTAGTCCAGACAACAGAGCCTGAGATTTGTTGCTGGGCTGCATCAAGGAGACCCGTATTTACACTCTCACTTTTATTTCCGAACAGGTTTCTTACCTCTCTGTACTTGTCTCCCGGGATATACTGGAAATGGTTTCGGCCCAAATGGATGTGTGCAACTCAGTAATATTTGCCTGAGTCGCCCCTGTTTAAATGGACAATGCACCGTGAGTCCTTTATTCTTCCTGAGGAGATGGGACTGAAGAATTTTAGTGTCACATCTCTGTAATATTTTTCCTATGATTTATTACTTTTAAGGTACTGATTAAGCTTAAGATAAAGAACCTCAATAACTCTCAGATGAAGGTAGATGGTAACTTTAGTTTCCAGGAAAAACTGATGAGTTCATTTTCTCTCTGAGTGATTTACAAAGTAGCAAAACAAAGCCTCTACTTAGCGATCACCATTGAAAAGAATAAATACAAGTTAGGTCCCTGGAAGCTGCTTGAGGCTCAACACCTGCTGCACACCCCATGCAGCATCACTGTTTTCGTTGTGTGGGTTGATTCGAGTTCATTGTCTGTCCATTTGTTTTAGGGCATGATGTTGTTTCTTTCCTTAGGACACAGTGTCTGGTTATCTTTGTAAGTGTGACTCGGGCTGGGCTGGCATCAACTGCACAGAAAACATCAATGAGTGTCTGAGCAGCCCCTGTTTGAATGGGGGGACATGTGTCGATGGCATTAATGCTTTCAGCTGTGAATGCACACGTTTCTGGACTGGACCCCTCTGCCAGACTCCCCAGCAAGGTATGCTCAGCATCCCTTATACCACAGATGCTCACAGCTCAAAATGACCACCATTGAATGCATCCTACTGCAGATTCCTCAACTAAACCTACTTTCTAGTCTAATTGCTCAAATGCTTAGAACTAAGGCTTTTCTTGAAGAAATTGTATAAAATTCACAAGGTAGATGTATATCTCCATTGAAGCCAGAAGTACCTTTTCCTCAAAGAAAAAAATTAGCTGTTTGCATTATGTCCATTCTGAAAGCAAAGTATGCTAAAGTATTATAGTTTTCTAAGGGTGAGTTTTCTCTAAAGCACCCATTTAATTTCCCTAGAATATTCCACTTAATCATGTTACTCTTCTGCTCTAGAATATGCTGGGTTCCCCATTGTCTATTAAATACAGATTAGGACTGTTTTTCAATTGTCCTCTTAACCAGGCCTCATCCTATCCATTTAACTTTATTTTTCATTAGTTCTCTAAAACTACTCGTTTCAATACAGACATCTTTCCTTACTACCTGACCCCATGTGCTGCCATGAATATTTCTGCCTTGTTTCTTTATTCCAGATAGATCTCCCCCCAACCTCTCCAGATTCTTTCTTTGCTTCCCATCCAAATGTATGTCACCTTCAATCTCCACCATAAAGCCTCTTGTGACTTCTCCAACCCTCCCTTATCCCTGATTCCAAATCAGCACATTTACTGAGGCTTTGCTATGTGTTCAGGACTGTGGTAGACCCCCGCAAGAAATAAGAAAGCACAATATATCACGAAGAAATAAGAAAGCACAATATACTGTTGCCACATAGTATCTGCTTATCTTCCAACCGAAGAGACAAAACTAGTACAAATGGCACAGAAGAGATAAGAGCTAAAGACAGGAACTAAATTGTGTGGGTTCCAGTGAATATCACAGAGGTAGAATGGGAGGCAGAGAACACACAAAGAGGCAGGGAAGTTCATGGCAGTGATGATACATGAACTGGACTTTGAACAAGAAATGGGATTTGGGTGGAAATCCAAAGAAAAGGGGACGGGGAGAAGAGAGGAGGGCAGGACTTCTGTCTCTAATGCTAATTACTCAGACTTCTCTCAATGTTTCATCAGCAGGGTTAGAGTTGCCTAGCCTCTTCCTCTACGGAGTCTTTTAAATTTTTTTTTTTTTATCCTCACCCGAGGACATTTTTCCATTTTTTGTTCAGGTAGAGCGGGAGGGGGAGAGAGGAACAGAGAGAGAGAGAGAGAGAGAGAAACATCGATGTGAAAGGAACACATCGAGTGGCTGCCACCCGCACAACCGACCAGGGCCGGGGACACACTGCAACCAAGGTACGCGCCCTTAGCGGGAACCGAACCCGGGTCTCTCAGGACCGCAGGCCGACGCTCTAACCGCTGAACCAAACCGGCCAGGGCTCTACAAAGACTTTTAAAAACACAGTTCATCTTCTTTCCCTTTGCAGTCTGTGGAGGGTCCCTCTCAGGGCTGAACGGGAGCTTCACCTACAAGAGCCCTGACGTTGGTTATGTTCATGACGTTAACTGCTTCTGGGTTGTTCGAACTGAAGAGAGAAAGGTAAATGTAGTGTCTCTTGTCCAACGTAGGTTTCATTTATATAAGCATGTGTAATATGTGTATATATTACATAAAATACATATAGTGATAATTTATCGATTATATATTGAGGATTTACAAAACGTCAGGCTTGGGCTAGGCAATTTAACTACCTTTCTCTAACCTTACAGTAACTCTTTGAAATAAGGAACAGTATCCTCATTTTATAGACTTGATAATGGAAACGAATAGAAGCTAACTAATTTAAAAAAAAAACAACAAACACTCCTTAGCTGGTAATTGGACTAGCCAGATTTCAGTCAAGTTTGTGTTTCCAAAGTCCATACTTTGTCTAGTATGGATGATTCTCTACATGGTTTGACCAACGCCAAGTCAGTGATTTGTAAAGGCGTGTTCTTACTGAGAGAGTAGTGTTTGAAGACGATCACTTAATAATGTTGATTATTATACACAAATGGAAACTGCTATTAAGATGATTTTCTTATCAGTGTCTCCTCTGGGCCACTGCATGTGCCCATGTCTTATGCTCATTGTTGCATAGATTATGTCATTGCTATTTAACTCTCATAACCCTGAAGGAATTATCTATGTAACCTCATTTTACATATAAGGAGATGGAGCCTAAAGCAGCTGAGAAATTCCAGGGGTGTATGTTTGGTTTGTAAGTGGCATGCAGTCACTTGAACCCAGGCCATTCAACCTCAGTGACTCTGAGCCTGAACCGCTGCACAAACAGCCTTCAAATTAAGATCTGAGCCAGAGGTTGTTAGTGCTTTTATAACCAATATTTATTATTCAACTCTTTAAAATATTTACTTTTCCATCAGTTCTTAGGGTCATTAAAATAAAGTTGTATTTCTGAATAAATAAGGTTTTCCCTTAAAACCCTATTAACTTTTTCAGCAATGTTACAGAAGTCATTGTACACAGTCAGAAAACATTTTTTTATTTATCCTGGGGAGGGTAAACTCTTTGGAGCCTGCTAACTCACAATGAATAAACTCTAAAATCAGTTTCCCATTGAGTATGTGATGTGAATTTCCTTCCTTCCATTTTGTTTTCATGAATTATATTTCCTGACATTGAAAATAATTTTCTAATAAAAAATCTCTTTTGTGAAAATTTTTGATATTCTATTATTTATGCTGTTTTCTTGATTATTGTGATTTTATATCTTTGAATCTTCAACACAATTTACATAAAACAGTGGAAAATTATATACAAATCAGGATAGTTCAATTCGGCATTTATTTTATTTTTATTGAAATTGCTTCAAGGGCAAATGTGATATAATGTTGGGTAACAGATCTTAAAAATACCCTAGCATAGAATTTCAAAAACATCCTGATACTCTTTTTCACTGTTTGAGTGCTGTTGTGGTTTTAGATCATAATTAAAATTAAATTCAACAGCCTTCTTTTGGTTTTTTTTTGTTTCTGTTTTTTTGCATTTATCTTCAGATAGAGTGGGAGGGAAAGAGGAAGGGAGAGAGAGAGAGAGAGAAACTTTGATGTGAGAGAGACACATCGACTGGTTGCCACCTGCACAACCCCAACCAAGGCACGTGCCCTTAGTGGGAACCGAACCCAAGACTTGCTGGTCTGCGGGCTGTCACTCTAACCGTTGAGCCAAATTGGCCAGGGCTGGTTGCTTGCTTTAAGGGAGTTTGTCACTAATACATATTGTGTATTATGTATATGTCACTAATACATATATATATACACATATATGTTTATAATTTTTTTCCTTCATTGATTTTAGAGAAAAAGGGAGAAGGACAGCTAGAAACATTGATGAGAGAGAACATCCATTGGCCACCTCCTGCATGTCCCCCACTGGGGATCTAGCCCACAACCTGGGCACATGTTCTGACTGGGAATCAAACCGACAACCTCTTGGTGCATGGGTCAATGCTCAATCACTGAGCCACACACACCAGGCAGTAAAAAATATTTTATATTTAATTGACTATATTACTATATTTTTTGGTATAGTCTAACATTTTAACTTAGAGACACAGTTTTGTGTTTATTCTCTCCTATTTGTATGCTCAGACTCTTCATATTACCTTTGCCCATTCTCTGCTCTTATTAATTATCTCTTATGATATGCAACCACCAAAGACTTGCAGACATTATATATGCCTACACCGTACCTATTCAGTCTATACCTGAGGTTGTCAGTCTGGGCTGAGTATCAGTATCTTGTTGAAAGGTTTGGAGACCCATAGGATTCAGTATCTCTGGGGTCAGTGATGAATATCTGTGTGTGAGCTACAGGCTACTCGGGTGATCAAGGTATAAATTCTTGTGAATGGTACATTAGTCAATTAAATTAAATGCAAGGTAGATTTTTCAAATGTCTAATCTATTTTACTGATTTGGAAGCATTTGTTTAATGGACTTAACAGTTTGATGAAATCTAGGTTAATCTATTTCATTAACCTACTGAATAACAACTCAAGGAATATAAAGTTCCAGGTAATGCTAGATGAATACATTCTACAGATCTGTTGTACAACATAGTGCCTATTGTTAACAACATGATACTTTGTACTTCAAAACTTGTTTAGGGGATGGATTGTGTTCTTACCATAAAAGAGAGAGAGAGAGAGAAGGAAACTGGGAGATGTCGGATGTGTCTATTACATTGATTGCTGTGATGCTGTCACAATTGTTTACATATGTCCAAATCCATGAAATTTTACAGATTAAATATGTGCAGTTCTTTGTGTATCAATTATACCTCAATAAAGCTGTAAAAATCTATTTAATTAACATTAACATTTTGCCATAATTGGTTATGTATCGGGGGTGGGGGGATAGATAGAATTTTACCTCATACCAAAAAGAGAAAAGATTTTTGATACATGTAGATTTTAGTTGAAGTGTAAACAATTTTTAACCCAACTCATTTAACAAGTAGAATTTTCATATGTATTTGTGGATAACTAGAAAATTTTAGATATCTCTCTTGAAAGTGACTCACTATAAATCTGTGACCTTTATATATTTTTAGGTTCTGCGCATCACTTTCACGTTTTTCCAGTTAGAACCAGTGAGCACTTGTCCACATGAGTTTCTTCAGATTCACGACGGAGCGTCCTCCGCAGCGTTCTCGCTTGGCAGGTTCTGCGGCTCCAGCGCCCCTCAGGAGCTGCGCAGCAGCGACAACGCTCTCTATTTCCATTTCCACTCGGAACACTTAAAAAATGACAGAGGCTTCACGATAATATGGGCAACACAGCAACCAGGTAAATACAAACATGGAGGGAAAGAAAGCAAAATCTTGAGGTTATTACATTTTTTTTTTGATCAACAGTAACCTTTTTGGGTACATTAGGTATTTGGAGATCTAGTGTTATAGAATATTTTAATAATTATTTTTATATCAAATAAATCTACAATAAATTGGCATTTGATTTTGTGTTCAGAGAGAATGAAATGTGTGATGAAATGGAAGAGATGAGAAAACATGAGTTTTTTTTTTATCCTCACCTGAGGACATTTTTTGATATTTTGTTCAGATGGAGTGGGATAAAGAGAGAGAGAGAAAGAGACATTGACGTGAAAGGGACGTGCCCTTAGCAAAAACAGAACCGGGTCTCTCTAGATCGCAGGCCGATGCTCTAACCGCTAAGCCAAACCGGCCAGGGTGAAAACATGAGGCTTAATGAGTCCCTTATGAAATTACTGACCAGCGTTTTCATAAGCTCAACTAGTAAATTGCTGTAGGGATGCTACTGAGGACACCCACCGTTCCTTCAGGGAGTATACCTTATCTTAATGACTATTTGATCATTAGTTTTTGTTATATTTTTGTTTTGGTGGTTTATTAAAAAAATTTACTAGGAGATTTTTAAACATAGAAAAAACTAAACCAGTACACCAAAACTCCAGCTCATTTATCAATAAATCTGTGGAACTATTTCTGGAATGTCTTTTTTTCCCATTAGTCTATCTATCTATCCTTGTGGCATATTGGCTTAATTACTGAAGCTTGAAGTCTGGTTGTGTAAATACTCTAACTTTGTTCTTTTTAAATATGCTAGGTTCTTTACATTTCCATATAAATATTAGTATCAGCTTGTTTATTTCCCCAACAATCTGCTGGGATTTTGTTGGCATTGTACTGAATCTGTAATCATCTTGGAAAGAAATGACTTCTTAAAAATTCAGACCCTATCAATTAATGAACTTGGACTACATATTTATTTATTTAGTTCTCTTTTAATTTGTATTAGCAATGGTTTATGATTTCGATGTTTACTTATTTCATGTTTTGTTATTTTTTCCAAGATATTTGATATTTTATGTTACGTTAAATGACATTTTTCTAAGATTTCATTTTCCATTTGCTATTAGTATATTTGTATCTTCCTTATTATGAATGAACTTGAACAACTTTTCATATGTATTTTAAAGGCCATTAGAATTTATTTCAGCTCTTCATATATGTAGAAGCTCTTCATATATTAGAAATAGTAATTCTTTGTATTATATATTGCATTTTTCCCAGTTTGCCATTAATATTTTACTTTGCTCATGGTGGTTTTTTTTGTTTTTTTGGATGTAGTTTTTTTTTAATTATTTATTTATTTTTTTGTTACAGAAGTTTCTCCATTTTTACCCCATTGGCACCTCCCTCCCCACCCCACCCCCCCGCCCCGTCCCCGGCTTTGTTGTCCATGTCCATTGGTCATGCATACATGCATATAAGTTCTGTGGTTTAGCTCCTCCCACTCCCCACCCCCTCTTCTGAGGGATGTCAGTCTGTGCCCTCCTTCCATGTTTCTGGGTCTACTGTATTCCTCAGGCTGTTATGTTCATTATATTCTGTATATAAGTGAGATCATGTGGTAATTGTCTTTATCTGCTTGGCTTGTTTCGCTTAGGATACTACTCTCCAGGTCCCTCCATGTCGTCTCAAAGGATAATAGATGTTTCTTTCTTTTTATTTATTTATTTATTTTTATCCTCACCCGAGGACATTTTTCGATATTTTGTTCAGATAGAGTGAGTGGGAGAGAGAGAGAGAGAGAGAAACATCGACGTGAAAGCTACACATCAAGTGGTTGCCACCCACACGACCCAACCAGGGCTGGGGACAAACTGCAACCAAGGTACGTGCCCTTAGCGGGAACCGAACCCAGGTCTCTCCGGACCACAGGCTGACGCTCTAACCGCTGAGCCAAACTGGCCAGGGCAAGATGTTTCTTTCTTACAGCTGCATAGTACTCCATTGTGTGTATGTACCACAGCGTTTTTATCCATTTGTCTACTGATGGACACTTGGGCTGTTTCCAGATATTAGCTATTGTAAATAGTGCTGCTATGAACATGGGGGTACATATATTCTTCCTGATTGATGTTTCAGGCTTCTTAGAGTATATTCCTAGAAGCAGGATCACTGGGTCAAATGGAAGTTTAATTTTTAATTTTTTGAGGTAACACTATAGTGTTTTCCATAGTGGCTGCACCAGTCTGCATTCCCACCAGCAGTGTATTAGAGTCCCCTTTTCTCCACACCCTCACCAACACTTGTTGTTTGATGATTTGTTGATGGCAGCCATTCTGACAGGTGTGAGGTGATACCTCATTGTTGTTTTAATTTGCATCTCTCTGATGATTAGTGATGTTGAGCATTTCTTCATATGTCTCTTGGCCATTTGTATGTCCTGTTTGGAGAGGTGTCTATTCAGCTCCTCTGCCCATTTTTTAATTGGCTTCTTTGTCTTCCTTTTGTGGAGTTGTATGAGCACTCTATATATATTGGAAATTAACCCCTTATCTGATATATCATTGGCAATGATGTTCTCCCATACAGTGGGTTGCCTTTCCATTTTGATGATTGTTTCTTTTGCTGTGCAGAAGCTTTTAAGTTTGATGTAGTCCCATGTGTTCATTTTTTCCTTTGTTTCTGTTGCCTTAGGTGATGTATCAGTGAAAATTCTGCTGTGTATGATGTCCGAAATTTTGTTGCCTACATTTTCTTCTAGAATTTTTATGGATTCACGGGTCACATTTAAGTCTTGTATCCATTTTGAGTTTATCTTTGTGTATGGTGTAAGTTGAGGGTCTAGTTTCATTTTTCTGCATGTAGCTGTCCAATTTTCCAAATACCATTTATTAAAGAGGCTGTCTTTACTCCACTCTATGCTCTTGCCACCTTTGTCAAATATTAATTGAGCATATTGCCTTGGGTCCATTTCTGGGTTTTCAGTTCTGTTCCACTGGTCTACATGCCTGTTCTTGTGCTAGTATCAGGCTGTTTTGATTACAGTCGCTTTGTAGTATAACCTGATATCTGGCATTGTGATTCCACCTACTTTGTCCTTCTTTTACAAAATTGCTGTGGCTATTTGGGGACTTTTTTGGTTCCATATGAACTTTTGAAGTATTTTTTCTAGTTCTGTGAAATATGTCATTGGTATTTTGATGGGGATTGCATTGAATCTATAGATTGCTTTGGGTAGTATGGACATTTTAATGATGTTAATTCTTCCAATCCATGAACAAGATATGTGCTTCCACTTTTTAATATCTTCCTCTATTTCTTTTTTCAATGTCCTGTATTTTTCTGCAAATAGGTCCTTTACTTCTTTGGTTAAGTTTATTCCTAGGTATCTTAAATTTTTTTGGCGTGATTGTAAATGGGATTGTTTTTTCAGTTTCCCTTTCTGTGAGTTCATCATTGGTGTACAAGAATGCCGTCGATTTCTTGACGTTGATTTTGTATCCTGCTACCTAGCCAAATTCATTTATTAAGTCTAGTAGATTTTTGATGGAGTCTTTAGGGTTTTCTATGTATAATATCATGTCATCTGCAAATAATGACAGTTTCACTTCCTCCTTTCCAATTTGGTTCCCTTTTATTTTTTTCCTCATGTCTGATTGCTGTGGCTAAGACTTTCAGTATTATGTTAAATAAGAGTGGCAAAAGTGGACATCCCTGTCTTGTTCCTGTTCTTAATGGAAATGTTTTTAATTTCTGCCCATTGAGTATGATGTTGGCTGTAGGTCTTTCAATATGGCCTTTATTATGTCGAGATATGATCCCTCTATTCCCACACTGCTGAGCGTTTTTATCAGAAATGGATGCTGGATTTTGTCGAATGCTTTTTCAGCATCCATTGATATGATCATGTGCTTTTTATTCTTCATTTTGTTTATGTGGTGTATCACATTTATTGATTTGCGAATATTGTACCAGCCTTGCATCCCTGGAATGAATCCCACTTGGTCATGGTGAATAATTATTTTGATGTATTGCTGGATCCGATTTGCTAGTATTTTGTTCAGGATTTTGGCGTCTATGTCCATCAGGGATATTGGCCTGTAGTTTTCTTTCTTAGTAGTGTCTTTTTCTGGTTTTGGAATTAGAATTATGCTGGCCTCATAGAATGTGTTTGGAAGTCTTTATGCTTGAATTTTTTGAAATAGTTTGTGGAGAATGGGTGTTAGTTCTTTTTTGAATGTTTGGTAAAACTTCCCTGTGAAGCCATCTGGGCCTATGCTTTTGTTTGCTGGGAGAGTCTTTATTACCTCTTCAATTTCCTTCATTGTTATTGGTCTGTTCAAGTTTTCTCTCTCTTCCCGGTCCAGTTTTGGGAGACTGTGTATTTCTAGAAATTTGTCCATTTTGCTTAGATTGTCGAATTTGTTGCCATATAGTTGTTCATAGTAGCTGTTAATGACCTTTTCTATTTCTGTGGTGTCGGTTGTTACTTCTCCTCTTTCATTTCTGATATTGTGTATTTGGGTTCTCTCTCTTTGTTGCTTGGTGAGTCTAGCTAAGGGTCCATCAATCTTGTTTGTCTTTTTGAAAAACCAGCTCTTTGTTTCATTGATCCTTTGAATTGTTTTTTTGGTCTCTAAGTCATTTATTTCTGCTTGATCTTTACTATTTCCTTCCTTCTACTTGCTCTGGGGTTTTCTTTTTGTTTGCTTTCTAATTCTTTAAGTTGTGAGGGAGACAGTCAATTAGAAATTTTTCTTGTTTCTTGAGGTAGGCCTGTACTGCTATGAACTTCCCTCTCTGAACTGCTTTCGCTGCTCCCCTAGATTTTGTGTTGCTGTTTTCATTTTCATTGGTTTCCAGGAAGTTTTTAATTTCTTCCTTGATCTCTATGGTAATCCATTCATTGTTCAATAACATGCTATTTAGTCTCCATGTGTTGAAATGTCTTTGCATGTTCTTGTTGCAGTTGATTTCTAGTTTCATGCCACTGTGATCTGAGAAGATGCTTAATATGATTTCAATCTTCTTGAACTTGTAGAGATTTAGTTTGTGCCCTAACATGTGGTCTATCTTTGAGAATGTCCCATGTGCACTTGAGAAGAATGTGAATTCTGTAGTTTTGGGGTGTAATTCTCTGTAGATATTTATTAAATCCATTTGGTCTAGTGCTTCATTTAGAGTCTCTGTTTCCTTGCTAATTTTTTGTCTAGAGGATCTATCCAGTGGTGTCAATGGGGTATTGAAGTCCCCTGCTATGATTGTATTGCCGTCGATTTCTCCTTGGAAGTCCTCCAGAAGATTTTTAATATATTTTGGTGCTCCTATATTGGGTGCATATATGTTTATCAAGGTTATATCTTCCTGTTGGATAGATCCTTTCAATATTATGTAGTGGCCTTCTTTGTCTCTAGTTATGGCCTTCATTCTGAAATCTATTTTATCAGATATGAGTATTGCTACCCCAGCTTTTTTTTTCTGTCCAAAATCTTGGAAAATTTTTTTCCATCCCTTCACTTTCAACCTATGTAAGTCTTTTGTTGTGAGGTGGGTCTCTTGTAAACAACATATTGATGAGTCATGCTTTTTTATCCAATCAGTGACTATGTGTCTTTTTATGGGAGCATTCAAGCCATTTACATTTAAGGTGATTATTGATATGTACTTATTTATTGCCATTTTTGTTTAGTGTGGTTCTATTTTTCTTCCCATTTCTCCTGCTAATTATAGCAGTCCTTTTAACATTTCTTGCAGTGCTGGTTTGTGCTAATGTATTCCCTTAGCCGTTTTTTGTCTGGGAAGCTCTTTATTTGACCTTCTGTTTTGAATTATAGCCTTGCTGGGTAGAGTAGTCTTGGATTCAGATCCTTGTTTTTCATGACCTTGATTACTTCATGCCATTCCCTTTTGGCTTGTAGTGTTTCATGGGAAGTCAGCTGAGGGCCTTGTGGGGTTTCCTTTGTAGGTATCCTGTTGCTTATCTCTTGCTGCTTTTAGGATTTTCTCTTTGTCTTTAATTTTTGGCATTTAATTACTATGTGTCTTGGTGTGGGCCTGTTTGGGTTCTTCTTACTTGGGACTCTCTGTGCTTCTTGAGCTTGAATGCCTTCTTCCTTCACCAAATTAGGGAAGTTTTCTGTCACTATTTTTAAAAATATATTCTCTATCCCTTGCTTATTTTCTTCTTCTTCGGGGACTCCTATGAATGTGAATGTTTTTATGTTTCCAGTTGTCCTACAGTTCTCTTAAGCTCTCTTCCTGTTTTTTAATCGTTTTTTCCTTTTGGTTTTCTGATTGGTTGATTTTTTTCTACCCTGTCTTCTAATTCACTGATCCAGTCCTCAGCTTTCTCTACTCTGCTTTTTCAACCTTCCAATGTGTTTTTCATTTCTGATATGTCATTTTTTATATCTTCTTGATGGTTTTTAATTTCCAATTGGCTTACTTTCAGTGTCTCTATGTCCTTACTCATGCTGTGGAGCTTCCTCAATATCATGGCTCTGAATTCTAGCTCTGTTAACTTGCCTAACTGCTCCACATTGATCTCATCTTCAGTGGAGGTCTCTTGCTCTTTCATTTGGCTTCTGTTTCTGTGTTTTACCATTTTGGCCATCACAGTGGGCTTTGGAGCCTGTCAAGTTTTCCCTGTGGGTGTTGGTGTTCTGCTGTTTGTGGCTCCCTCTCCTGGGTTTAGATGAGTGAGGGAGGACCCACGTTAAACACCACTGTCATGTCTTACTTCCCTGGTTAAATTTGATAGCCCAGGAAAGGTTCTGTTATCCTCTAGCTTTTTGCCTGGAGGCTAGCAGTCGAGGTTACTTGATGAGTTTTGGGTTGTCAGTTGATTGAAAAACTCCCTCAGGTGCTCAGCACAAGGGGATTTCACAAGGGTAGGGCAGATGCTGGTTGTTAATGAGCCTCAATTAGCACTTCAATGGCCCACAGGGTGGGGTTGGATCTCCGAGGGAGAGGCTGTTGCCTCTCCCCAGAGCCCTGGGAAGGAGCAATATGGCCACCGTCCTGCGTGGCTGCAACTCAGCAAACACTCTGAGTGCCCTACAAATCCCGAGTGTCCCGACACAGTTCCAGTCCAGTCTGCCCTCCCTCTGCCGGAGCCCAAGGTGAGTGGCTGTGGCTGTGTCAGCCTCTGTCCCGGCTGCGCTGTGGAGCCGCCTGGGAGTGTGACCCGAGGGCGCTGCTCCCAGCTGAGGCCGCTGCCGAGCTGCCGACCGTGGGCTCCCAGCCCCGTCTCGCACCTTCGCAAGCCTACCGGGGTCGAGTCAGTGTCCCTCGTTACATGGTCCTCCAAGCTGCTTTTCTGTTGGTTTATCCCGTCGATTTGTCTGTGTTATAGTTGTAATTCCAGTTTGGTCCTGGGAGACGGTCTGTGTAGCTCCGTTCACTCCGCCGCCATTTTGGAATGCTCATGGTGTTTTCATTTTTCATCCATATGATACTTTTTTAAGTACTCAGTTATAAAAAAAGTCTCTTACTCTGAGCAACTGAGATGTTTTCTCATTAGAAACATGTGAGAATCATGTAACAAATTTGTTTCACTTTTTGCCTTCGGAGCAAAATTTTTATCTGAATAACCTGTAAATCTCATCGCTGGCATATTTGAACTGTGATCTTAATTATTTTTTTCTTATTTATATTTATGGCAGCTTAGATTTTTTTTTTTCTTCCTCACCCGAGAACATTTTTCCATTTTTTGTTCTGATAGAGCGGGAGGGAGAGAGAGAGAGAGAAACATCGACGTGAAAGGGACACATCGAGTGGCTGCCATCCTCACAATCCAACCAGGGCCGGGGACAAACTGCAACTGAGGTACGTGCCCTTAGCAGGAACCGAACCCGGGTCTCTCTGGACCGCAGGCCGACGCTCTAACCGCTGAGCCAAACTGGCCAAGACGTCAGCTTAGATTTTTATTTAGCGTTCTTATTTTTTTTATTTTGCTATAGCACTTCTCATATGCCATAGTTTTCCTGTTAAATAAATGTGGGTTTTAACAAAGAGCAGATTCTTCCAGTGGTCGATAAGCAACTGTATGGTCTGCTGGGGTTTAGTGCAGGTGGTAGTGGAGTGGGTGTCCGAAAGCCTGGGCCGGTCCTTCACTTGCTCCTCCCTGGGCCAGTGGCTCAGCCACATAAACATTTGAATTTCTTCATTTATCAAATGAATATTTTGACTATGTCACAATGCTAAGAAACCTCAAATGAAAATTATGTAGTGCTTAACTGTTCTAATATATAAAAGGATCTGGTTTTAGAAAGACATAAGGACTGACAGAGTTTTCAGAACTTTTAAAGAGTTAATGTACAGAATGAAACTCCCTCAAAGTGAATCTATCATCCTAGCATGTGTTCCTCAGACAGTTCAGCACTGTGTTTTAAATTATGCAACCCTGTGATGACCGATAAGTGTAAAACCCAATGCATGGGTGATTTATTTATCAATTGGTCCTTCTAGGTTTATAACTGTATCAAGCTGGAAAACTGAAAGTCTTATTTAATTTATGGGGGTGTCCGGAGCTACCCAAAGCTATTTAAGTGAAGAGCTGGGCTTCCCACTGCAAGGGCTATGATAGTTCTATGTGAATTATAACTTGTACACAAGTGTAAAGTTATGTTTCTTTCTTATTTTAGAATGTGGGGGTGTACTGACTGGCACTTATGGTTCTATTACGTCTCCGGGGTATCCTGGGAACTACCCCCCAGGACGGGACTGTGTCTGGAGAGTCATAACCAGCCCCGGCCTTGTGATAACGTTTACCTTTGGGACCTTGAGTCTGGAGCACCATGATGACTGCAGCAGAGACTATCTCGAGGTAAACAGTTGTATTTACGATATGATTAGAACTCGGGGAATTATGGTTTGGTGATGCCCATGGATGACCACAATTTATTAACAACAATTGGATGTATTCGTCTATAGGCAGCCAATGTCTATGTCTTGCTAAGTCCTTATTCTTGTATTGGATTGTTACTCCTTCTTCTGAGCCCCATTTGAATCTGAGAAAGAGACTGCCTTGCTTGCCCCGTGCCCATGGGAAGAGCAGAATTAATGAAAAATCACTAAGTCATGGCTATCTTCTCCAATGCAGATTCGTATCTTCAGTTGTTCATGGTAAACTGTTAAGGTATTTCACAAACTGACCACAGTGTTCCATGAAGAAAATTAATAGCAGTGGTATTGAAATGAATTGACAAAGACTGGAATATATTGAATAATTGTCATTGAGAGGAGCGGAGTTAACCTGTGTCTGTCTGTCCTGCTTACCGTTAGTAAAAGATTAATATATGGAAAAAGAAAAGGCTGTTATAGTCAAATGCCATATGCTTATAGGTATATAAAAATATGTGCTCCCCATTGTAGACTGAAAGATCATTGAGGAGATTTAGTTCTTAGGTGGTTCCTGTCTTATCACCATAAATCTCAGTACCCCTTGCAGTAGTGATACAATATGCTGTCCAAGTCCATTAGGGAAGAATGTAATGCTATGGAATTATTCATAAAGGAGAGAAGGGTGTGAGTGTCACACAGGGATCTCCACAAGTTAAAGTCATTAGTAATTTAGCAGTTGTAATGGAATTGAAACCTTTGGGAATGACTGGAAAACCTACCTCTCCCTGGAAAATTTCATCAAGGTAATCTTTTGACTGTTGACAATAAAGTGAACTTTCTTGAAATTAATTTTCAATAAATTCCATCAAATTAATATTTGAAGCATTATTTTACTTCTCTATATTAATTCAGATGCAAATATAATATAATATGATATGATATAATACAATATAATGTATCAGGCACTCTGATAAGAAATGCCTCTCATTTCTGAACAAGCTATAATATTTCAAGGAATAAATTAAATATAGGAATAAAGTAATAATGCCCTATAACTTTGCTGACAATACTAAAAGTAATTTGAATGGACAGAATTGGTCCTTGGCTGCCTTGGTGTTTGTTCTATGTAGTACAGAATTTGTATCTACAACACAATTATAGAGAAGTTAACATGATATTTAATAGATTAAAAACCAACGATTAAAAAAGGATTTGATTTCCAAGGTCACATCATCATTGTTGTGGTAGTTAAATACTATTCAAGCTGCACTTTTTATATTCCATGAACCCGTCTTTCTATTGTGTCTAATCTGACTTCACTGCCTGTTCTTCCCTGATCCTCCCAGATACCCAGACCAAGCTGTGAATCAATGGGCATTGCCAGCATTCCTTCTCCTATTTTCTTTGCATGTATTGATTTTCTTCTTCAGGATTACTAGGGGCTCATACTTTCAAAACAAATGACTGGGGAGAAAACATTGAGATTAGTAACATCATGAGAAAAATTCAAAGTTAATGTCCAGCCTCTGAATTGAAACTGAGACAGAAGACAAGTCATCGGGCATGACAGGAGAGGAGACTACCCTTTCCTGAGCCCCACGCCTGTGTTAGACATACGTGTGAATGGAATACATCCCAGAGCTATTGCTCTTAAATGACGAGTTTTCTGAAATTAATGTACAAAACCATTCGGATTGCTAAAATCTGACCATGAGAGCTTAATGACTAGTTTTGTTGTTATTATTTTAGATCCGAGATGGTCCCTTGAGTCAGGATCCTGTTCTTGGGAAATTCTGCACCACTCGGTCTGTCCCACCACTCCGGACGACAGGCCCCTTTGCCAGAATTCATTTTCATTCGGACAACCAGATTAATGACCAAGGCTTCCATATCACCTACCTAACATCACCTTGTAAGTAACCTAATCATTGGGAGCTCAATATATATATATGAAGGACAATGTTTTGCTTATAGCTGTTTTACTTTTTAGTGTGATACTGCAGATGACTTCCTTTCTTAGGCTACTAACGTGTTTATAAACATTTCTGCCATGGTTCCAGATTTGTTCTTTATGTCCCCAATGTTCTATCATTAATGCTACAAAACCCCTCTCTTCCTAAAGTGTAGGATCCATATAATGGTAGCTAAGTACAAGGCACCTAGAATTAAATAATTTATACTTCAGTTCCCTAGCTTTTATTCCGTGTTTTGTTGTGAGAGATGTTGTTCATGAGAGAAATGCAGTCTGTCTTGAAATTTGTCAGGTTTTATAGATGGTATGACTTTAATTTGCATTGATTCTTTAAAACAAATCAACAACCAACAGAAAGCAATGAAATGCTCTATGATTTTTATTTTAGGGCTGTAGAGGATTTTGTTCTTAACATACATCATTGTGCCTTGATGAGAATTCACAGGAAAAACATTGTTTAGGTCTCAACATCAGGAAATGAATGATGAACATCTTTTTACCGGTCCCCTTTCTCTACTGACGCTGGCTTCAGGCTGAATCTGCAGCTACCCTTCTGTGGTCTCAGTAGTCTGTACCTGTTTCTGTGCATATCAACTCCCCCGACCACATCTTGCTGTTCTGAATTCATTATTCCTTTAATCTGATTCATTTTTCTAGTTACATATTTTATGTTGTTACATATATTTTATAAAGTGTCTCAGATCTTTTGGGAATGGAGGAGATTATAAATCTATTTAAAAAGCAATTTGTGGAAGAAGATGTTAGATTAGAATTTAGATCACACATTTCTACATCTATTTCTCTTTTTTGTGTGCAATTTTTATTAATTTATTTGTGTTACAGATGCCCCCCGCTCCAGGCACGCTCCTCCCAATCCTGCTCCGCCCCCCCGCTCCCAGCATTGTTGTCTATGTCCATTGGTTACACATACATGCATTTAAGTTCTTTGGTTTATTTCATCCCTTTCCCTTGCCTCCTTCCTTTAAAATTTGTCAGTATGAACCATACTCCTTCCTATGTCTCTGGGTCTATTTTGTTCATTAGCTTATTTTGTTCATTGTATTTGACAAATAAGTGAGATCATGTGTATTTGTCTTTCTCTGATTGGCTTATTTCACTTAGCATAATACTCTCCAGTTCCCTCCATGTCATCTCAAAGGATAAGAGATCTTTCTTTCTTAGAGTTGCATAGTGTTCCATTGTGTAAATGTACCACAGCTTTTTTATCTGCTCACCTACTGATGGACACTTGGGCTGTTTCCAGATCTTAGCTATTGCAAATAGTGCTGCTATGAACATAGGGGTACATATATTCTTTCTGATTGGTATTTCAGGCTTCTTAGGATATATTCCTAGCAGTGGGATCACTGGGCCAAATGGCAGATAAATTTTTAATTTTTTGAGGAAACACCATAGTATTTTCCATAGTGGTTGCACCAGTCTGCATTCCCACCAGCAGTGTATTAGAGTCCCCTTTTCTCCACACCCTCGCCAACACTTGTTTGATGATTTGTTGGTGGCAGCCATTCTGACAGGTGTGAGATGATACCTCATAGTTGTTTTAATTTGCATCTCTCTAATGATTAGTGACATTAAGCATTTTTTCATATGTCTCTTGGCCATTTGTATGTCCTGTTTGGAGAGGTGTCTATTCAGCTCCTCTGTCCATTTTTTAATTGGCTTCTTTGTCTTCCTTTTGTTGAGTTGTATGCGTACTCTCTCTCTATTAGAAATTAATCTCTTATCAGATATACCATTGGCAATTATGCTCTCTCATATAGTGGGTTCCCTTTCCATTTTGATGTTGTTTCTTTAGCCGTGCTGAAGCTTTTTAGTTTGATGTAATCCCATGTATTAATTATTTCCTTAGATTTCCTTGCCTTAGGTGTTGTATCAGTGAAAATTCTGCTGGATGTGATGTCTGAAATTTTGTTGCCTACATTTTCTTCTAAAATTTTTATGGATTCACGAGTCACATTTAAGTCTTGTATCCATTTTGAGTTTATTCTTGTGTATGGTGTAAGTTGATGGTCTTGTTTCATTTTTTTGCATGTAGATGTACAATTTTTCCAAACATCATTTATTAAAGAGACTGTCTTTACTCCATTGTATGCTGTTGCCACCTTTGTCAAATATTAAATGAGCATAATGTCTTGGGTCACTTTCCGGGTTCTCTGTTCTGTTCCATTGATCTATGTGCTTGTTCTTGTGCCAGTACCAGGCTGTTTTGATTACAATAGCTTTTTATTATAACCTGATATCTAGTATTGTGATCCAGTCTTATTCTTCTTTTTCAAGATTGCTGTGGCTATTCGGGGCTTTTATTGGTTCCATATAAACTTTTGGAGTATTTTTTCTAGTTCTTTGAAATATGTCGTTGGTATTTTGATGGTAATTGCATTTAATCTATATATTGCTTTGGGTAGTTTGGACATTTTAATGATGTTAATTCTTCCAATCCATGAACAAGGTGTGAAGCCGTCCAGGCCTGGGCTTTTGTTTGCTGGGAGATTTTTTATTACACCTTCAATTTTCTTAGTTGTTATTGGTCTGATCAAGTTTTCTATCTCTTTCCAGTTCAGTTTTGGGAGACTATGTATTTCTAGAAATTTGTCCATTTCTTCTAGATTGTCCAATTTGTTGGCATATAAATTGTTCACAGTATTTGTTAACAATCTTGTATTTCTGTGGTGTCAGTTGTTATTTCTCCTCTTTTGTTTCTGATTTTGTTTATTTTGGTGAGTCTAGCTTAAGGGTCTACCAATATTTCATATGTTTTCAAAAAATCAGCTCTTTCTTTCATTGATCTTTTAAATTATTTTTTTAGTCTCTATGTTGTTTATTTCTGCCCTAACCATTACTATTTATTTCCTTCTACTTGCTCTGAGTTTTTCTTTTTGTTTACTCTGTAGTTCTTTAATTTGTGAGATTAGATAGTCAATTAGATATTTTTCTTGTTTCCCAAGGTAGGCCTGTGTTGCTATGAACTTCCCTCTCAGGACAGCTTTCACCATGCCACACAAATTTTGTGTTGTTGCGTGTTCATTATCATTGAGTTTAAGGAAGTTGTTCATTTCTTCCTTGATCTCCTTGGTAACCCATTGATTGTTTAATATCATCCTATTTAGCCTCCATGTGTTCAAATGTCTTTGCATGTTTTTGTTTTAATTGATTTCTAACTTCATGACATTGTGATCTGAGAAGATGCTTGATAGGATGTCAGTCTTCTTAAACTTGTAGAGACTTAGTTTGTGTCGTAACATGTGATCTATCTTTGAGATGTCCCATGTGCACTTGAGAAGACTGTGAATTCTGAAGTTTTGGAGTGTAATTCTCTGTAGATATCTATTAAATTCATTTGGTGTAGTGCTTCATTTAGAGTCTCTGTTTCCTTGTTAATTTCTGTCTAGAGGATCTATCCAGTGATGTCAGCTGGGTGTTAAAGTCCTCTGCTATGATTATATTGCTGTGAATTCTCCTTTGAAGTCCTCCAGAAGTTTTAAAATATATTTTGGTGCTCTTATATTGAGTGCACATATGTTTACCAAGGTTATATCTTCCTATTGGATAGATTCTTTCAATATTATGTAGTGGCCTTCTTTGTCTCTAGTTATGGCCTTCATTTTGAAGTCCATTTTATTAGATATGAGTATTGCTACCCCAGCTCTTTTTTCCTTTCTGTTTGCTTGGAAAAATTTTTTCTATCCCTTCACTTTCAATCTATGTGAGTCTTTTGTTGTGAGGTGGGTCTCTGTAAATAACATATTTATGAGTCATACTTTCTTATCCAATCAGCTACTCTGTGTCTTTTTATCAGAGTGTTTAAACCATTTACATTTAAGGTGATTATTGATATGTACTTATTTATTGCCATTTTTGTTTATTGTGGCTATATATTTTTTTCTATTTCTTCTACTGATTACCACAGTCCTTTTAACATTTCTTGCAGTGCTGGTTTAGTGCTAATATATTCCCTTAGCTTTTTTGTCTGTGACGCTCTTTATTTCACCTTTTATTTTGAATGATAGCCTTGCTGGATAGAATAGTTTTGGATTCAGATCCTTGTTTTTCATTACCTTGATTACTTCATGCTATTCCCTTTGGCCTGTAGTGTTTCTGTTGAGAAGTCAGATGATAGCTATGGGGGGATCCTTTGTAGGTAACCTGTTGCTTATCTCTTAGTGCCTTTAGGAGTCTCTCTTTGTCTTTAATTTTGGACATTGTAATTACTATGCTTCTTGGTGTGGGCCTCTTTAGGTTCTTCTTACTTGGGGCTCTCTGTGCTTCTTATACTTGTATGCCTTTTTTCTTCACCAAGCTAGGGAAGTTTTATGTCACTATTTCTTCAAATATATTTTCTAACCCTTGTTCATTTTCTTCTTCTTCTGGACCTCCTATGAATTGGGTGTTGTTACATTTCATATTGTCCCACAGTTCTCTTAAGCTGTCTTCCTGTTTTTTAATTGTTTTTTTCATTTTGGTTCTCTGATTGGGTGAGTTTTCCTACCTTGTCTTCTAATTCACTGATCCAGTCCTTGGCTTCCTCTACTCTGTTTGTTGTTCCTTCCAATGTGTTCTTTATTTCTGCTACATCATTCTTCATTTCTGCTTGGTGGCTTTTCATTTTCAATTGGTTGATTTTCAATGTTTCTATATATTTACTCATGTTGTTGAGCTTCCTCATTATCATCACTCTGAACTCTACCTCTGATAACTTGCTGAACTGCATTTCATTTATCTCTTCTTTGGTAGAGTTCTCTTGTTCTTTCATTTGAGATTTGTTTCTTTGTTTCACCATTTTGGCTGTCTCAGTGGGTTTTGGAGCCTGCCAAATTTTCCCTGTGGGTGTCGGTGTTCCACTGGTTGGGGCTCCCTCTACTGGATTTGGATGAGTGTGGGAGGACCCATGTTAAACACCACTGTCAAGTCTTACTTTCCTGGGTAGATTTGCAAGCCCAGGAAAGGTTCAGTTATCCTCTAGCTTTTTGCCTGGAAGCTATTATTTTTAATTATTTGATGAGCCTTGGGTTGTAGTTCTCAACAGAATGAAAAAATGCCTCAGGTGTTTAGGGTAAGAGGATTTCCAGTGGGTGGGACAGATGCTTGCTGGCTGTTAATAAGCCTCAATGTGCATTTCTCTGACCTGGCCAGGTGGTGTTAAATTCTTGAGGGGGATGCTATTTCTTCTCCCCATGGCTTTGAGAGGGGTTCTTTCAGTAATATGGCTACTGTCCTGTAAGGCAGTGATTCAGCACAAAACTCCCATTGCCCTCTCAGAAATCTAAGCTTTTGCCTCTCTCCCCACAGTTCCAGTTCATTCTGCCCTCCCTCTGCTGGAGCCCAAGATGAGTGGCTGTAGCTAATTTAGTGCTCTGTCCCAGCCCTCTGTGCTGTAGAACTGCTTTGAATTTCACCCCTGAGGGAGCTGCTCACAGCTAAAACAGCTGATGTCTGTGGGCTACCAGCCCACCCTCTCTCTCGCCTCTGCAGTTCCTACCAGGCTCGATTTAGTGTCCTCATTCTGTCCCTGGTTATACGGGTCCTCTCCAGCTGCTTTTTCTGTTGTTCTTTTTCTGACAATTTGTTTTTATTTTAGTTGTAATTCCAGTTTGGTCCTGGGAGATGGTCTGTGTAGCTTCCATTCACTCTGCCACCATTTTGGAATCTCCTCTATTTCTATTTCTTTAGGCACTACATGATTGTTCCACAACAAACACATGTCAAACTGGAAATTTTATAATCAGATGAGGTATATAAATATATAAACTGGGTGAATAAAGTGGGTATGTGATTGCATGTGTATGCTTATAAGTTTTTGAAAATTGTATATAATGCCTTGGAACCAGAGGATTGACCATTCACATGACCTTTTCCTTCTACTTCCCTCTCTTTAGTGGATCCACATTGTGGAGGGAACTACACAGACCCAGAGGGTCCTCTCTCCCTTGAATTGTCTGGACCTTTCACCTACAACAAACAATGCATCTATATCATAACTCAACCCCTGGGAGAACAAATACAGGTGAACTTCACCCATGTGGAGCTGGAAGGCCAGAGTGGCTGTTCTCAGAGTTACATTGAGGTAACTTTTACTACTAGATGGCCCTTAGATGATGTTTTTCAACATTTTTATGTTCTGCAGAGCCATGGTCTTTAAATGGTCATTGAGCCATATCACCTGGGTGATCTGGATGCTAGAAAAGCAATTCTATATCCTATTTCTGACAGACTGAGTCAGAACCTCAAGGGGTAGGCCAGCCACCTGCCTTTTAACATACCCTCCAGGTAATTGTGATACAAACCAGAGTCTGAGAACAACTGCTCTAGAGAGTATAAAAGAATTTGCCAAAAATAGATCTATGGATGGTGAAACAGGAGATTGGTGGTGAACTAGCAAATGACAAAATGAAAGCTGAGACTAGAAACTCATATACATGCTAAATTACAAACTATTCAATTGAGCTCTAATAACTAAGGTAACTGCAAACAGTTAAGAATAATAGGATTTACTAATGGGATACCGATTTCAGAGATTCTCCAGCATCATTTTCTATGTGAGGGAACTCGATGCAGAGAAGTAAAAGTATTTGTCCAGGTGAGCTAGCTAGTGAGTGGCAGAGAGTTAAGTTAAAACATTCAAAAACTCTTGTTTTAAAGTTTAGATGTCTTTTTTCTTCATTAGTTCTGCTTACTTTCCTTCAGAAAACCTTAAGTGTGTGTAATAATTGTAACAAGAATATCTGAAACAAAAAGGTAGTTTTTGTTTGCCTGGCCTTGTATTTCTTTTGCTTAATTATTGGTCAAGCCACAAATTAAAGTGCTGAGGAAGCGAAACAGAACACTCTTTGTTAAGCACAATCATTTTATGTAAACTCAGAGCAGCACTGATAATTTTGTTTGCTCATGTAAATTAGACCAATTCATTTTTCTAGGAAAAACCTGTATAACCTCTTGACCTTCCCTCCTTCATGTGTGGAGCAAGAAAACACAGGATTTTAGCATGAAACCAGGACTTAGTACATTGACCACGGCACCACAGCAATGTTTTTTGTTTTTTTTTCATCCTCACCCAAGGACATTTTTTCATTTTTTTGTTCAGATAGAGTGGGAGGGAGAGGAAGAGAGAGAAACATCGACGTGAAAGGGACACATCGAGTGGCTGCCACCCACACGACCAACCAGGGCCGGGGACAAACTGCAACCGAGGTATGTGCCCTTAGCGGGAACCGAACCCGGGTCTCTCTGGAACACAGGCTGACGCTCTAACTGCTGAGCCAAACAGGCCAGGGCACAGCAATGTTTTTTAATCCAGAGATTTTTATCTCAGATAGTGAGGTGAATGTGTATATTCATTCAATGTATGTTTCCTAAAGTTTCTCATAAAGTACATTAAAGTTTGATACAGTGACCAATTTTAGATATTTTTATGCAAATAAAAGTTAAATTTCCAACATCTTTTTTTTTTTTTTTAACTTTGAGAACAGTAAAAATAGCTCACATGTAGGGAGTACTTACTATGCACCAGGTGTTATTTAAAATACTGTAATAGATCAAGCAGATAAATACTACTGTCTTCTTACTGCCTGTCAGAAATGGTATGTGCTATCCATGAATTAATTCATTGAATCTTCACAACAACCATTATTCCTATCTTGATAACAGAAATAGAGGCTCAGAGAAGATGCTACTTGCCCATGGTTACGTGTCTGGTGTCTGGGGAGAAATGGAACTAGGAATTGGAATTTAGTAGTTCCCATTGTATTGTTCTCTGATAAGAACAGAAATGCAGTAGTTTAACTGTGACTACAAAAGGTGGATCATCTTCCCCAGGGAGGAAGCTTCTGTGAATTTTCCAATTTCATAACTGGCTTCCTGGTCACAGGACTGTAATACGGAACTAGATCACAATGCTTTTCTGAGACAGGCAAAAATATAATTCTAATTTTCAGGAAAATTTGAGTACCTTTCTGTTAGATTAGATTCATTTTTTTTTTTTTTTTGTTTTTAATCTTCAGCTGAAGACATTTTTTGCATTTATCTTCAGATAGAACAGGGCGGGGGGGGGCTTCAGTGTGAGAGAGACACATTGACTGGTTGCCACCCACATAACCCCAACCGGGGCTGGGGACAAACTGCAACCAAGGTACATGCCCTTAGTGGGAACCAAATCCGGGACTCTCTGGTCCACGGGCCAACGCTCTAACTGCTGAGCCAAACCAGCCAGGGCTGTTAGAGGATTCTAATGGCTCTGAGGAATCATCAAAGCATCTAAAATAATATAGCCTCCCTGACTTTGCATTACTTTCATTAAGGGGTTACATGAACTCTTAATTGTTCTGAAAAGTTACCAGGAAAAAAAATCATGAAATATTAAACTTTGTAAAACAGAATGGAAGAATATTTTGTAGCCAGAAAGGGATTACAGTTAATTCAACTAAGTTCTTATTTTAGTTCAGTCATTTGATGCTGTATAACCTTGGACAATCCTTTACCCGGATGCTTCAGATCCTACTTCCATTAGATGCCCTATCTATTCTCAAACCTCTGTAAGAATAAGTAAAGGAAATAAATGATAAAAGAAGCTTAAAGAATTATAAGCATTATACAAATGCAAAGTTTTCTCAGGCCAAATTTCCAACTCTTGCCTTGAACTTATCAGTTCAGAGACAGTTGATGAGACCCTTTTGTGGCTGGCCATCGAAGTATCTACATTCTGAAGTGCATGCATACCCAGTCTTTCTCTCAAGGGTTATTGATGGAAAAAATAAAAGAACTCTGTTATTAGAAATACAGGTCACGTATAATAATTTCAACAATTTAATGAACATTTTATTATATCCTTGACCACCCATCCTAAGGGAATACAGCCAATTGATTTGTAGAATTTTAGCCCATCAAGTGCCTGAAAGGTCATCTAATCTAAATCCTTAATTTTACAAATGAGGAAATTGAGGTCACAAAGCTCAAACTCTAGTTATTGTCACAATGGGATTTAGATGTACCTATCTGGGATTCTAGATAGACATATATTGACTTAGGTCAAAGTTCTTGCCATTAAGTCATATCTATCTATTGGAAAAATGTGTGAACTAAGTTCATTTTTTAAAAAGTATGTCCATTTATTTTCATGTCTTTCAGACAGCGGGCATGAAAGAACGTGATGTTAGAACCAAATACAAATGACATTATTGTGACTCAATATATCATTCCCCAAAATGTTGTTTTTACTTTTAAAAGGTGTACTTAAAAAGTGAAATGTTTAAGCAAAGGAATTTACAAAAAGAATAATGGAATTTAAGACACTTTCGTGGTTTGGAGGGGAGTTGACTGCCATTTACTAACTATTCATGACAGAAAGAATACTAGTGAGCCCTGGCCGGTTTGGCTCAACGGTTGGAGCGTCGGCCTGTAGTCCAGAGAGACCCAGGTTCAATTCCCGCTGAGGGCACGCACCTCGGTTGCAGTTTGTCCCTGGCTCTGGTTGGTCGTGTGGGTGGCAGCCACTCGATGTGTCCCTTTTTCGTCGATGTTTTGCTCCCTCTCTCTCTCTCTCTCTCTCTCTTCTTCTCTCTCCCTCCTACTCTATCTGAACAAAAAAATGGAGAAATGTCCTTGGGTAAGGATAAAAAAAAAAATACTACTAAAACTTCTGGAAGAATAAAGAACAGAGAGGGAATTCTAGAGAGATATGGGAGAATGATAATAGGGAATTTTCCTTGCGTTATGTGGTCCAGATGTCTTGTTACCCTATGAATACACCCTTAACATGAAGAATAAGATACTGTTGCCTAGTGTATCTCTTTCATGTGTGGTTTTGACAGGTTTACTTTTTGCTCAGTAAGAGAGTTCCATAACAATTTAAGAATAAAATTTAACTACAAAAGATAATAAATGTGATATTGGCCAGATTCATACCTTTCTTTCTCTTTTTCTTTTTCTTTTTCTTTTTCTTTTTCTTTTTCTTTTTCTTTTCTTTTTCTTTTTCTTTTTCTTTTTCTTTTTCTTTTTCTTTTTCTTTTTCTTCTTCTTCTCTTCCCTTCCCTTCCCTTCCCTTCCCTTCCCTTCCCTTCCCTTCCCTTCCCTTCCCTTCCCTTCCCTTCCCAACAAGAAGCACAAATTTATGCATTACTCTTTGGATTTAATGTATCTCTTTCAACTAAATTTTCTACTGCTAAGAACACACATTGCTCATGGGTGATGTGATGTGAGTGGAGCAAGGACAGATCACCTGGGAGTTCATCTGTTTTCGTCCAAGAGCTTTTGAATTGTGTAGAACAGCTCAGTGCATGTGACAGAAGCATCTTTCCAGAATAAGAAGTAGCCCTTCTCATTAATATTTCATAAGTGATTTAAGCCATCAGAACTCTGAGTGAAAGACAATAAGGTAGTAATGAAAGTTTAATTTTTAACCCCAGAGAATGCAAGTAGTAGGCTGAGTAATCATTTCAGAAGCCTATGCAATGTTAAGGCCAGGCCTTGAAATGAGATGTGGAAGGAACCGACTTCAGTTGAATGGTCAGAGGCAGCTAGCTTCCCTAAGGATGTCACATTTTGAGCCTGAACATTCGAAGTAGTTAGCCTTGCAAAGAGCCAACAGAAGAAGGAATCCAGGTTAGAGGTGCTGGCATAGCCTTAGAGATTGAATTGAGAAAAAACCTGTGAACTCCCAGAACTGAAAATAGATTAGTGTGTCTGGAATCACAAAGGGGAGGAAGAAGCAAACCAGAGTTATGCAGGAGCTGGATCTTGTACAGCTTTGTAGCTGGAGATGAAGAACGTACCTTTCCTAGATGAAAAGGGAAACAATTAAAATATTCTTAGGGCGCCCTGGCTGATTTGGCTCAGTGGTTAGAGCGTCGGCCTGCGGTCTAGAGAGACCCAGGTTTGGTTCCCAGTAAAGGTGCGTACCTCGAATGCAGTTTGTCCCTGGTCCTGGTTGGGTCGTGTGGGTGGCAGCCACTCGATGTGTCCCTTTCACATTGATGTTTCTCTCTCTCTCTCTCCTTCCCACTCTATCTGAACAAAATATGGAAAAATGTCCTTGGGTGAGGATAAAAATAAAATGTCCTTAGGGCAAAGCCT